TAGGACATGTTGTCATGGTAACCATGACACATAGCAACCAATTTCTGTCTGATTTGAGTTAACGGTGTCAAAGACTTTTATCATAGAGAGTTTGGAGAAATTCAGAGACTATGCGTGCCACAGCTCCTATATAAATGTTCAAGTCATTACAGAGAATGGCTCTTAATTTTTCACCTTCATGTTTGTAACACTGTAGGCTTTCCACTCATCATGTTCACCCATCTTCTTTGAGTCTGTCTGTCCTTCTAATTGTCAGTGAATAATTAATATTTCTGATATGATGAACCATTTGCTTGAAAATTGCCATATTTCATAAGTTTGATTAGGGCAAGGGGGATATATTTTATATTTTAAGCTTTTGTTCGACCTTTTTAAGGACACTATAAATATGAACTGTGTTATTGCTTTTTTGTCTTTTCAGTAATGGTCAATGCTAGTGATATATTTGTCCAAACAACGACGGGTACTCCACCAATAACTACAGGTAACATTCTCCAGTTAGCTCTCTTAACAAAGACCAGTACTAGAATGATATTTCATATAAAATTCTCCAATAAACAGTTAACAACAACCAGCATTGCACCTATAATGCTTAATAACAACAGCAACCAGCATTGCACCTATATTGCTGGATAACAACAACAACAACCAGCATTGCACTTATAATGCTGGATAACAATAACAACAATGACCAGCATTGCACCTATAATGCTGGATAACAACAACAACCAGCATTACACCTATAATCCTGGATAACAACAACAACAACCAGCATTACACCTATAATGCTGGATAACAACAACCAGCATTGCACCTATAATGCTGGATAACAACAGTAATGTAGGATAACATTCTCCAATTAGCTCTTAATTAAGAAGGACCACTAGTACATGTACTGCATTGATAATACAAAGCACTCAACGGGAAACAAAGATCCAGCAGAAATAATATTGGATAACATCTTCCAACAGCTAGCACTACACCAATTAAACATTTAATATTCTCAATTAACAAATTAATACATTTTTTTCTGTTGTAATACATGTATCCCAAAGCTATTATATAACAAGTTTGACATTGATTTGTCAAATACTGATGCATTTCCAGTTTTCCATAATCAAACTTTTATTGACTCTTTTATTGATGCATGCATACAGACTTATATATTAACAAAAATAAGAGTGACTAGATGCGATCTCATTGCGAGCAACGAGTGGGTCTTCCATCCGATTTTCGATAAGATAAGAATTTAACTGAGATTTTCGTTTTAAAATACTGATATAAATAAACAATTTTGCTTCAGTAATTTGTAACAAAATACTGATCATTAATAAGTTAAAGATTAAAGACTTTCCGCTGGTCTTGGCCCCTTATATGAGTGGTCAGCCCCTTTTTTCATATCATCTTACAGCTTTCATAATTTTCAACACTTTTTCTGCAACAACCATTTAGAAATTGGTTTTTGTTTCCGAGATATATGGAAAAGATATATTAAGAGCCGATCCTTCAAGTCCTAAATGGGGACGTCTAGCAAAAAATTGAAAGATTGCATATGATTAAGAATATCATTTTGAACGTCTTTTGTTCAATATAGTTTATCAAAATATACTTCCTTTTCAAGATATATTGCACCAAAGATTATGCAATCTGACCCCTTATGACCCCATATAGCATAAGATATGATGTAAACATCATGTTATATTGTTAAAGAGTGTGAAGATGAACTATTTCGCTTCAGTAATATATTACAAAATATTGATCATTCAAGAGTTAATAATTAAATTCTTTCGGCCCTCTCGGCCCCTATTTTCAGAGATCAGACTCTTTTCCTTGATATCACCTTAAAGATCTCATGATTTTGAACATTATTTGTTCAACAACTATTCAGAAATTCTTTTTCGTTTCCAAGATATTTGAGAAAGACATTTTTAGGGGCCAACCCTTCAACTCCTTAATGGGGACGTTAAGCAAAAATTGAGAGGTTACATATTGTTCAGAACATTATTTGGAACATCTTTAATTCAATATTGCTTATCCAAACATTTCCCACTTTTGAGTAAAAGAGTGCCAAAGATTTTGCATTCTGACCCCTTATGGCCTCTAATTATGTAACATGTAATGTGAATATCATAATATATAGTTGAAAATTGTTGAGATAAACATTTTTGCTTCAGTAATGAATTACAAAATATTGATCGTTAAAGAGTTATCGATTAAAGACTTTCGGCCCCTTTTGGTCCCTATTTTGAGGGGCCAATCCCTTTTTTCTTCATACCACTTTAAAGCTGTCATGATTTTGAACAATTTTTGTTCAACAACTATTCAGAAATTCTTTTTCGTTTCCGAGACAGTTGTGTAAGAAATATTTAGGGGCTGTCCTTTCAACTCCTTAATGGGGACGTTTAGCAAAAATTGAGAGGTAACATATTGTTCAAAACATTATTTGGAACATCTTTAATTCAATATTGCTTATCAAAATATTTCCCATTTTTGAGATATAAAGCGTCTAAGATTTAGCATTCTAGCCCCTTATGGCCCCTAATTATGTAACATGTAATGTGAATATCATAATATAGTTGAAAATTGTTGAGATAAACATTTTTGCTTCAGTAATGAATTACAAAATATTGATCGTTAAAGAGTAATTGTTCAAAGACTTTCGGCCCCTCTCAGCCCCTATTGTGAGGGCCCAGCCCCTTTTTCTTCATATCACTTTAAAGCTGTCATGATTTTGAACAATTTTTAGCTCACCTCGACGAAGTCGAGATGAGCTTATGCTATACCCCCGGCGTTGGCGTCGGCGTCGTGTGGCGTTAGCGTCGGCGTCCCAGGTTAAAGTTTTAGGAGCAAGTCCATTCCCAAGTAACTACAAGCCCTACCTGGACCAAACTTGCATGGATGATGCATCTAGGGATGGACACTACCACACTTGCTTCGGATGCTGGATCTGACCTAGATTTTCCAGATGAGTGACCAGGTTAAAGTTTTTGAGCAGGTCCATTCCCAAGTAACTACAAGCCCTACCTGAACCAAACTTACATGGATGATGCATCTAGGGATGGACACAACCACACTTGCTTCAGATGCTGGATCTGACCTAGATTTTCCAGATGAGTGACCAGGTTAAAGTTTTTGGAGCAGGTCCATTCCCAAGTAACTATAAGCCCTACCTGAACCAAACTTGCATGGATGATGCATCTAGAGATGGACACTACCACACTTGCTTCAGATGCTGGATCTGACCTAGATTTTCCAGATGAGTGACCAGGTTAAAGTTTTTGGAGCAGGTCCATTCCCAAGTAACTATAAGCCCTACCTGAACCAAACTTGCATGGATGATGCATCTAGGGATGGACACTACCACACTTGCTTCGGATGCTGAATCTGACCTAGATTTTCCAGATGAGTGAATTTTAGCCATATTTTAATCAAATTAGCATGGATGATGTATCTTAGGATGGACACTTTCAGACTTGTTTTGGATTCTGAATCTGACCTACATTTTCCAGATGGGTGACTAGAGTAATGTTTTTGGAGTAGCTATATAATATTATGGCATGTTATGATTAAACAGCTTGGATGGTACATCTAAGGATGAAAACTTCCAGACTTGCTTTGGATGTTGGAACTGTCCAAAATTTTCTTGATTAGTAAACAGGTTAGAAGTTTTTTGAGCAGGTCTATTTCCAAGTATCTATAAGTCCTTCTTAAACCAAACTTATATGGATATTGATCTTGGGATGAACACTAACTATAAAAAATATGATGTGAGATTTGCCTTACTTATAGATAGCCTTCGTCGAGGTGAGCTTCGTAATCTTTGATTACCTATGTTTGTTCAACAAATATTCAGAAATTCTTTTTCGTTTCTAAGATATTTGCAAAAGAAGTATTTAGGGGCCGTCCCTTCAACTCCTTAATGGGGACGTTTAGCAAAAAATAAAAGGTTGCATATTGTTTAGAACATTATTTTGAACATCTTTTGTTCAGTATTGCTTATCAAAATATTTCCCATTTTTGAGATATAAAGCATAAACAATTTAGCATTCTAGCCCCTTATGGCCCCTATTTATGTAACATATGACGTAAAAATCATATCATATAGTTGTAGTTTGTTAAGATGAACATTTTTGCTTCAGTAATTTATATCAAAATATTGATTGTTTAAGAGTTATCGATTAAAGACTTTTGGCCACCCTCGGCCCCTAATGTGATGAGTCAGCGCTTTTTTTCTTGATATCATGTTAAAGATCTTTTCATTCTGCACAAATATTGTTCAGTATGTTTTAACAAAATAATTATACTTTAAAAAATATGATAAAAAATGTCTCAAAAATTCACTCATAATTCGTGTCCTAAATTTCGACCCCTACCGAGCTTCCATACTAGGCACTTCCGGAAAATATCTAAACCCAGGTGCAAAATGGCAACATGTCCTCTATCATCACTGAAAATTTTAGCGCTCTACCTTAAGCCGTTTTTGAGTTCCATCACAGACAAGGAGGTCCTCTGAATTTTAATAAAAGGGTGATAACTTTCGACCAGAAGTAGATATCCCTTAACAGACTTGCCGGAATTAACTTCAGAAAATTTGAATAAAATCGAACGAGCCATCTCCGAGAAATCTTCTTCACAAATTTTGTAAAGAGAAAAAAGAATAATAATAATAAAGGTAAAAAAGAAACCTAAGAATAATAGAAGGGTCTTCCGCTGAAGACGGAAGACCCTAATAAAAAGGTCCACAATTACGGTAAAAAGATTGATATTTTGTTGCAAAACTTCAATGTTAAGTGCAACAATAATGCTGGATTCACCTTTCACACTCTTACCAGCTGTCTAGCATTTCAATCTGAATAATGTATACAGAGTCTAAGAGTTCATGCAATATAATCTTAAAATTATGTCAAAATATGTCAAACTTCTGCCATTATTGTTGAAGTTTGACCTTGGAATCATTAAACTTAATCCTTCATCTGGCAGCCATGCATATTTGTAGCAAAATGACATGGAAAGATAGATCAAGATGTATACTTTAAATTATGTCCACAATTAAATGAACACCTATCACTTTCTTTGACCTTAAACTTGTTTCTCCATCCAGCTAGCATCTCTCTGACAAGTGTTAGACTAAAAGGTCAGGTGTACTGCATGGAAAATGGACTTTTGAACAATATCATACAGGTTGATCAAGTTCATTTCCTGATATTTTTCATTGACAGGCCCAGGACTGGGGGGAGTCCGATTCCGTACTGGTAATGAAACAGAAAGATCAGGAGTAGTAGAGATTCTGTACCAAGGTTTCTGGGCACCTGTGTGTGGAAACTACTTCTATAACTCTACAGCCAGTATCCTCTGTAAAGAACTAGGATTTGGGTGAGTGAAAACATGAAGGAGAAAACAGTATATCCAAGATAAGAATTTGTGCACTAGTATTTCTTTTAGATAGCACTCAGTTCCTTTTATTTAATTTAAGAAATTTTTATATGGAGGTAAGAGAAATTGCCAAATATTAAATTATTTTTATATCTGTGTCTTTTAGAGGAGGAACAAAAATGACTTCAGTTTATGAGTACAGCACTAGGTCAATTGAATTGTCCTGTTCTTACACATCTAATCCTGGACTTGAAAATTGTAATGCCTACATGGTCTCCTACTGTAGCAATACTGCAAGGATCAACTGCTGTAAGTATCTTGTACAGTATTTGTATATCTATCTCTATTTAATTAAGAGAGAGAGAGAGAGCAGTTATTCAAAGAATAGAATGCTTTCTTTGTTTATACTGAGATTAATTGCAACATTGCAGAAAAATACATATATCCTGAGTAAGATATAATTTTACAGCTGTTTCTCATACCATTTTTAGATGATAGCAGCCCCTCTTGTACCTTTGATGATGCCTGGAATGATTGTGGCTATACCCTAGGAAATTGGAGGATTTGTAAGAAATTTTCTCAATAAAAAAAATAAGAATCATGTCCAACTGTTCAATGTAATTATTGTGTAAAAATAAATCTGTTCAAGTTGTTTATCCCATGGGTTCTCATAATTATTTAACAAATTTTGAGTTTGAAAAAGATTTTTAGCTCACCTGTGAGCTCAAGTGAGCTTTTCTGATCACATTTTATCTGTTGTCCGTCTGTCTTTCAATCTGTAAACTTTTCACATTTTTTTACTTCTTCTCAAGAACCACTGGGCCAATTTCAACCAAACTTGCCACAAAGCATTCTTGGGTGAAGGGAATTCAAACATGATCAAATGAAGGACTCTCAGAATCAGAAAATTTTATTTAAAGTCGGATTTTCAAACAAATAACATAAGCTTTATAGAGCTGTCTTTCAAGGGGAGATAATTAAATATTCCAATATTGAACATTGAGTTGCATCTTAAATATCTTAAGAACCACTGGGTCAAGAAAATTTAAAGTTATGTGAAACCTTCATTAAATAGTGTAGATTCAACTTTGTTGAAATCATGACCCCAAGGGTAGGGTGGGGCCAGTATAGGGGATCAAAATTTTACATAGAAATAAATAAGAAAAAAATCTTCCTTAGAGGAGCAAAGCCATAGTAAATCATATTGATGTGGAAGCATCCTCGGGTAGTGCAGATTGAAGTTTGTTCAAATCATGACGCCAACGGTAGGGAGGGGTCACAATTTTATAAGGAAAAGAACATCTTTCAAAATCTTCTTCTCAAGAACACCATATCCATGATTAGTCATATGTAAATATCTTCAGGTAAGATGGATTTAAGTTCAGATCATGACCCCCAAGGGTTATGGTGGGGATTTATCTTTCAAAATCCTCATCACAAGAACAGCAAAGCCATGATTAGTCATATGAATACTAAATACTGTAGATTCAAGTTTGTTCAAATCATAACACCTGTAGGGTGGGGTCACAACAGGGATCACAGTATAATGTAGGAATATATAACTGAATAAATGAACTGATGAAGAACAGCACATATTGACTCAGGTGAGCATTGTGGCCCAAGGCCTCTTGCTGCATGTTTTATGAATGATTTTTAGCTCACCTGAGCCAAAGGCTCAAGTGGCTTTTCTGATCAAAGAGTGTCCGGCATTGGTCTGTCATCTATAGTCTGTAAACTTTTCACATTTTTGACTTCTTCTCAAAAACCACTGGGCCAATTTCAACCAAACTTAAAACAAAGCATCCTTGGGTGAAGGGGATTTAAGTTTGTACACTGGAAGTGTCGTGCCCTCTTTCAAGGGGAGATACTTAAGAATTCATGAAAATTTGGTGGCATCTTTAAAAAATCTTATTCTTAAGAACCACTGGGCAAGAAAAGATGAATCTTATGTGAAAGCTTTATTACATACTCTAGATTCAAGTTAGGGGGTTGTAATTTGTCATAGTTTTACATAGGAATATTTAGGTGTAATGGTTAAGGGGCATTTGAGTAAAATGCATCGAAGACTTCATATAGTGGAATAACCTGACAACCCTTGGAATGAGCTTGCCAAACCAAAGGGTATATAAGGTAAAGCTTTGGGAAAGTCAGGCATTCAGAAGCTAACTGAAGAAGTTGGATGTTGAATCAGCAGTAAAGAAGTTAAAACTTATAAACACCAGTGGCAAGTATCCTAAGGAATTGATGTTTAGCTTCTTCTTAGCCAATGTGCTCAGGTGAGCAATGTGGCCCATGGGCCTCTTTTTTAAGATGCTCACTTCTAATTTTTATTTTTTAAACAGCTGGTTCAACGCTTAACCTCATGTATGGGTCCTCCAATGTAACTTCCCCCCAATTCGCCAGTCCAACAAACGGAAGTGTTCAATTCCAGTACATTATCTACAACCAGGCAAGCACATTCCTCAGGCTTCATTTGATGACGACAAACACAAGCCAGGTTACAGATTTTTCAGGTAGGAATATTGTATTTTTATACTGTTTTACAGGGAAAAAAAAAAAAGAAATATTCCTAATAAATCATGAGCATGCACAAACACGGAGTGAATTAATTGTTGTTTCTACATGTACATGTAGTTTGCTGGATTCAGATTTATACTGGAGTAATTAGAAATGAACACAGTGGTACATAGATGATGTTTGGTATCATCCTGTTGTTTGATATGTATATTGATAAGCAATTCACTTGTTGCTAATTATTGTAGTATTACATATGAGAAAATTAAAAAGACTGAATATGTTGGTCTACAAGTTATTCTTTTTTAAAGTTATTTTCATGTATTATTTTTACAGGCTCTATAGTGGACTTGTGGCTTACAAGATGTATAAATCTACCCCAGGAGGAGTCAGTGAGGCTTGTTTTTGAGGGGCTTTATGATTCCTATTCCTCTTCCTCAGTGTTAGCCCTGGATAATATCACCATATCAAAACAACCATGTCAAGGTATATTAAAATAAAATAGATGTGTTGATAGAATTCAAAAAAAGATGTCTTTATCACAAGGAGAAGGATTAATGAAATGCATAATTGGAGAGAATGCCCTAATCTTATTTGATATCTCACTTGAGTTTTATAGTCATCATTATCTCAACTTTATTTTTGAATCATCTCAAGAAATACTACAGATAATATTAACATAAGGATTTAGTTTGACAAAAAATTATTTCCTTTAGTTTAGTACATGTAATTGGAATTTCCTATTTTTATTTCCCCTTGTTGATCAACATTGCTGGCTTATTTATGAATTAGTTTATGTATACATTGTAGTATTTTGTAAATAAGCTTTAAGTTTTTCTCCAAAACACAGAGCTTTAAAGTGACAGTACGGCGCATCTCATCAAAAAACTGACTAGATAAAATTTTCCGAGAAGATTTGGAATTTTTTTACTACTCATAAATGTATAAACTTTCAGAAAATTACAACTTTTACAATTAAATAATTTGGATTATTTCATTAAAATTAATAGTTATTTATGGGACGTAAATATATACATCGCAACGTGTTCGGGGTTCCACATTCCATGCTATGCACGCATGCGTAGTTTTCATAAACAAAACAGCATTGTTAGAGAGGGAAGCCCGGTAGGCCTGCTACATTGACGAAGTTGACCAAAAATAAAAAGAAACTGAAAATAGAACTTGAAAAAGCAACTTTCCTGACTAAAATTTAGTTTGGGGATTAATATAATCGCTGGATAAGGAAGAAACGGGAACTCGGCGACACTCACGCAGGGCTCTCGAAGGTTCTATTCGACAGGTTTGTTGATACTTGTTATAATTTCTCATTTTTCCATCGCTTTCAAAGAAAAAAAAATAGTGTAAACTCAACATAAAAATACACCTTTGACTTATAAACATTGTTGCCATTTGAAATGCTAATTTTTTTAACAGTGCAGAAAAATATTTTGTTTGACATTTGCCGCGATAACGTATGATTTGGTGGTTTTTCCTTTCTCGGACCCCAATACACAAAACGTCAACATTTGTACTTTTAATTCTGTTAAATTCTCCTGAATGCAGACTAAAATCTTTACGATTATCATTTTAGATTATTTTATCAGAAAGTTATGATAATTTGTTTTTGAAAATTGCTTTTACCTAATATTCATTATAATTGTAAACTCTACAGTGTAGGCACGTGCCGTTTTAGAATTCACGTGGTACAAATAAACAGATCTAAGATTGCTCCAGTTCGTACGACCCTTGATTTTCCGGCAGATTCTAATTACATTAATTTTGTTTGAGTAAAGAATATTTTTGTTTCTCAAACTGCTTACATCAACTTTATACCTTATTTCTTAATGACATATTGGGTAAATTTGAATGAAAAAGCACACAATTTGCAGCCATACTGTCGCTTTAACTAACTAAGCTTACCATAGAGCATCCCTCATTAAAGGGAATTCAAGTCTATTCAAACAAAGGGACGTGTCCCCTTCAAATGCAGATGGTTAAAATTTAAAGGGCTTGTATTAAATCTTGTTAAGAACCATAAGTCAGAAATATAAAAACTAATATGACAGCTTCCCAATATTTGTGGATTCAAATATGTTATTATTCCCAAGGTGGGCCTTTAATAAAGTTGGGTGCAAGGATTTACAAAAGATTTTATTGAAAATGTCTCTTTAGCTGCTACAGAAACGCTAAGCTAAAGAGTCAAACTATTGTTCTTGCATCCATGTTTGCAGAGATTTGAATAGGAAAGTCATACATGCCCAAATTCTCCATTACAGAAGGATTCTTATGATGAGGGGAGGCAACTATCAGTGTCCAACAATTACTGAAGAGTCTGACAATAAAAGACTTAAAATAGCTTTATTAACTTGCACGTGTTCCTTTTTTTTATTTTTGAAAGGTTTCCCAGACCTGTCCTGTACATTTGATGACCCATCGTCCTGCCATTTTGAAGTTGATCACCATAAAAGTTTGATTCCTCCCTCATTCAGATGGAAGCTCTCCAAAAGCAATGACACTTCAGGTAATGCATACATGTAAACTGTACGACTTTACATGGAAGTCAAACATTTTTTACTCCATCTCTCGCCTACTGCTTTTATCAAAAATGTAAATCTACAGAATCCTTTTTTTGTAGCTTGGATAGACATTTTGTTTGAAAATAGTGACTGTTCACACACGTCTCTGTGATTACATTGGCTATAATAAAATTTGTTTACATCCCAAAAAAAAAAATGCAAAAGATAGTATTCTAGAATCTTAATGAAAACTTCCTTCATAAATGCAAAGAATGGGAATCAGCAGTTCATATAAACTTTAATTCTAGATGATAACCATCATCCAATGAGTAACTCTTTAATTAACTAAGGATGACTGATACCTGAAACATATAGAAATAATATTACATTACATAAATGATTAGTTATCTCCTCCCCCGGGGACAAGTTTTTTAGGCATTAATAAAACTTAAAAGGTCTGTATAAATCAAATATCAAATTACGGAATGTTTCATATCACAACTGTACTTCAGTCACTAGTAATTAAAGATCAATTGAACTGTCCAATAATCAGTTATTCTCTGCAGAATCCATGGAATCCTGTCTAGTATTGCGGCGTGGTCTTCCAGGCGTCAACAACTCTTTCTTTCCAGGTGCATTGTGCGGCTGAAGACGAGCCAGAGCGCGGGGTAAACGTGTGACCTTCGGTTTGTCTTCATGTTCTGTCGGAGGAGCGACTTCGTCCTTGTCCGTCAATAGTCGTCTTGGCGATAAACGCGACTTAGCGGTTGATTTTGGGGTCACGACTGCAGGTGAGACCTCTCCAGATGTAGCAGGTGAACCATGGTTAACAGGTGGTGGAACAGAAGGGCCATCCACCCTGGGAGTCACATGCGAAGGTTGTGGTGTGCTACATTTCAATGGAATTAGAGTCAATGTTTTCTGAGTCGAGGATGAACCATCTGTAACAGTCTTTTCTGAAGGCTGTGGCATTCTCGGCATCGTTTCAATCGCACTGGGTGAATTGCTGTTAAACGGGTGAATTTCCTCAGATGCTGGCGATTTCTTAGCGTAACCCTTCCTGTGCCATCTACACGTACCACATACTGGTGGTATTGGCGGACCTCAACAACAACTCCAGTGCGTTCCCATCTCCTTGGGTGGTTGCCCATTAAGTTTTGGATATACACATGGTCTCCAACCTGCAGTGGTGGTAGCTGATGGGTATGCTCATTCCATCTTTCATGCTCTCTTGAGTGGCGTTTGGCAAGAGCTAACTCTCTACTCGACATCAGTTCCTTCCATGTATCATGAGGCGAATATCTACCCATTACGATTGGTACGGCATCTCTGATCGGACGACCAAACAGGATCAAGGCTGGGGATGCCTTCGTCTCTGGATCAATGGAGTTCCTGTATATAAGTAAAGCCCTCTGAAACTTATCCACGTCTAAGGAACCATTGGCTGTGATGTTGTCCGCAAGCATACGTTTTACCATCTTTACTGCAACTTCAGCTCTGCAGTTGGCATGTGGATTTGCAACTGATGAGATTCTATGTCTGACTCCCCAGGCTTTCAGGAATTCCTGTGTCTTTCCAGCTGTATACTGAGGACCTCCATCTGATGTTAATTCCTCTGGGATACCAAATGTGACAAACGTCTCATGAAGGCGCTTCACCAGTCCATCCGCTCCAGACTCCGATCTGTATACCATGGGCCAGTTGGAGTACCTGTCCACAACGACAACATAATCCTTACTGTTGTAGGTGAAGTAGTCGCTGCAGATCTTCTGGAAAGGATATTCAGGAGGAACTATATCATTAGGTGGCTGCATGGGGTTTGACTTAGCCATCTGGTGACAATGTCCACACTGGTCCCTCGTCCTGGCAATATCCACCGTGATATCTGGCCAATACACCGAGTCCATGGCTCTGGCACGCATCGACGAGACTCCTTGGTGTGCTGCATGAAGTGCATTGAGTACTGGTTTACGTAAGGCAGGTGGAATGACTATACGCTGTCCCAAGAGAACCACACCATCAACAGAGCATAGACTGCCAGAAAAACGATGAAATGGGCGCAACTCCAGTGGCAAATCCCTATAATCCTCTGGGAACCCTTCTTCTATCTGCTGAAGCAGGCTAATATACGTAGGATCTGATGCTGTGGCTTCACGTACCATATCCCAAGTTACAACCATGATGTTGGCATTTAATGCAGTTGTAGCGGCAGCAACTGTGGAGGTATCATCAGCTTGATCTCGATCCTCAGTAGATAGGCCGAAACTGGTGGGTGTATCACGACAACTGGCAGAGCAACTGTCAAGGGACTTGTCTACTGTGGCATCACCAGGTAATACCAGTCGATCTGGGGGGCAAGCTGGATGTCTGGAAGCTGCATCCGGACCAAGGTTCTTCTTCCCAGGTACATGAACCACCGTAAACTTGTATCCAAGGGTCTTTTCTTTCAGGTTAAGGAGACGCCTGTTATCTATTTCAGTGAGTGATCGGTCGTTCAATATCTGGAGTAGTGGTTTATGGTCAGTGGCGACAATGAGATCTTCGCATCCGAGCACATAGTATCTTGTCTGGTGGAGTGCGTACACAACAGCCAAGGCTTCGCCTTCGATTGGAGCGTATCTACTTTCTGCTGGGTGGGTGAATCTACTGCCGACCAAACAAAGCTTCCATCCATCATTACAGCATGCTGGGGTCTTACTGGCACAGCTGCAATACTTCTGCATCATGAAGAAGCCAATACCATCAATGGACCAGTCTGTGGCTAGACAGGTCATGCGTGCTGGGTCAAACAGACGAACACCTTCCTTCATCTCCTGGATAATGACCTCTTTGGACTTTGTAAATAGTTCATCTAGCTCATCCGTCCAATGGAACGGTGTAGATGGTTTCAATAGAGCTCGGAACGGTTTCATCTGTTTAGTCATGGCAAACGCGTAGGCACCTTGGTTGAGCAATCCAAACCATGCTCTTGCACCGGTAATGTCGGATGGTGTGGGAAAGTTGCTGATTGCATCTAGGAACTTTGTGCTTGGTCGTATATTTGTAGGAGTAATTGTGAGTCCAGCAAAATCTACAATATCTTGAGCAAACTGGAACTTCTTCGGGTTGAGGGTAATACCATTCCGAGCACAGAGGTCTAACCATTCGCACGTCTGGAAGAATGCTGCTTTAACAGAATCTGCCCACATACAAGTGTCATCCACGCATTTGACCTTGTTCTTGAAGTCCGTAATGACAGCATCAAATCGTTGGTTGTAAGCATCTCCGCTGGCCATAAATCCCTGTGGAGCTACCTTGTATCTGTACCGTCCCCATGGTGTGATAAAAGTGGTAAAGTGACGGTCCTCCTCTCGAATAGGTACAGAGTGGTATCCATTCCAAGCGTCAGTAACGGTCTTCTTCATACCTTGAGGTACCCTGTCTGCTAGATGAAACGGACTCGGTACATGATGGGTCTGGCGTACGGAGTGACGGTTTTGTGGTTGAAGATCTACCGTCCTTCTGGGCGTACCATCAGCTTTACCTGTAACTACCATCCTGGAACACCATGTTGTAGGGGTATTCTGGCTAACTTTCTCCAAGACTCCAATCCTTACGTCTCTCTCCAGGTCAGCATAGACTTTATCCTGCCAATGGATGGGTACCAGTGCTGGCTTGTGAACAGCAACTGGTCTGGCATCAGGATCTATGTGAAGCTTTAGGGGCTCACAGTTCATCAGCGGTAAAGGTTGATGTTCACATACGTTAAAAGTTGTAGCACTGTAGTAATCAAGTAGCCATTCCTTTAATGCATCCACATTTTCTTCAGTAGCGTCCAAGCCTGGTGGTAGTGTTGTTGGTAGTGGAGGTGGATTAGGCTGACGTCTGGGACAGGAGCAGGTAGTCTCATCTTCTACAGAAGCAAAACTCTCTGATGTGTCTACGGGATGGTTTGGGAAGTCTGCATGAATTATTCCAAGAGAAACCAGTGCCTCCCTGCAGATGAAAGCTTTTTCCATGACATCAGATACATAACATAATATGCGTGTAGATTTGGAACCATCTCTGACCCTCACATCAACTGCAACCGCTCCAATAACCCCAAGGTTTTCTTTGATGGCACCTCGCATAACGAGCTTAACTGGAATTAGGTCCTTTCTGGTAATTCCCAGGTTGTTGGCTGTCTGCAATGGGATTATCGTACTCTGGCATCCGGTGTCAGCTACCATGGTCAGTTGTATCGTTTTGAGCCTTGTAACATCTTTGATGGGATGTCCAAATGACGCATGGTCCTCGGCCAAAGGTGTCATATTAACCAGTAGCATCGGATGAGGTTTGGACGGCCTAGCTATCCATTTTCCTTCAAAGATGTGATGTTCAAGACGTGCTGTATTCTGATATTGTTCTGATGTGGTACATAGCTGGTCGTAGACATAACCAACCTTGTCGTCAGCATCTTTCGTCGGTTCCTGTGATGGTCCCTGATTGCGGAGTTTCTGTCCTCGTCCCTGTGTACAAGCCCTTGACGATGAATCACGATGTCCCCAGGCACCACACGTTGAACACTTGCTGCATGACTTGGTATAATGACCCTTAACTTTACACTTGGCACATGTAGATGTCCAGGCCTCGCAACTTCTTTGTCTGGCTCAACGATCGTTTCTTTGTCCGTGGGCAGGTCCACCACATGCCCAGCACTTGCCTCCAGGTCCTTGTACTGATTTTTGGCTATGGGTCGTTGTCGACATCGCACCGGCTGAATCTCCAACTGCACTCCGTGTAACTTTGCCTTGTTCCTTCTGTGCTATGAAGGAAACAGTCTCTTCCAAGGTTCTGTCTGTCTTAGGATCACCAAGCAGGTCAGACAAAATTTCAGGGTCTGCAATTCCTCTAACCAGATTGTCCTTTATGATCTCATCACTGTAGTCGTAAATGTGGTTACACCCTTCCTCCTTGCATGTGGCCTTGTACTGACAGAGAGACGCCTGACCTCGGAGACTGGCTAAAAACGTTCTGATGCTGGTACCAGGTGCTTGTGTCATCTTACTGAGCTTAATGCGTTGTACCAATGTGCTCTCATCCTTCACAGCAAGCCGTTTAATGACATTCATCAGGTCTGCCTCTGGCATGTCTGTGATGTTACCTCGTTGGTCACGCATGACGTCGGTCCGAAGGTCTGAGTCACAGCAGTAGAACAGAGCAGTGGGTATGACGTTTTGGGCAATGGCCATACCCACCTTGTACATCTCCCATTGTCGAGTGAACGCTGACCACTGGTCTGGGTCACATCCAGCAGTTATGGTGGGTGGGTCCAACTTCAGTTTGGGAGCTGCGGCAGCTGCTGGCTGGGCCTGTGGCTGGTGAACAGTTCTATCGTGGATCTGGAGGGCTGCCGTCATCGCTGCGGCAAAAGCTGCATCCAGGTCCTGAGACTGCCACTCACATCCAAATACAGGGCACTCTAACGTTGGCATGTTGGGGAGTATAGATCGTCTTTTGTACCAAAATTGTCAAATTGTGTAGAACTGGTATCAGTCATAGATGATAACCATCATCCAATGAGTAACTCTTTAATTAACTAAGGATGACTGATACCTGAAACATATAGAAATAATATTACATTACATAAATGATTAGTTAAATTCAGCTCTACTTTTGTTTCAGTCATCGCAGAAATAAAACCTTTTTGGAGAAATACAATCTAGTTTTAGATCTGAATTGTCTAATGATATCATTTGCTCTATTTGGCAACGAAATGAGCAATGCTAATAGTTGCTTCCAGGCTATATAAAAAAAATTACTTTTCAAAAAGCTAAAGAGCCACTGAAAGCTGTGATGAACATGAAAAAACATTTCCTTGCATAATATATGAAAATTGTGTTTTTGTCTGCTTAAAGACATACAACACAGTGGGGGAGATAACTCTTGGGATTTCAATTAAACATTTAGCGGTAAATTTGACGTTAATTTTTAAGCATCAAAATGACGATCAATATGATCCCAATGTATTTAAAGAAAATGGGATTAGAGACTATGATTGTGGTTTCTTTATGAATATAAAATCCTATCATTGACTATTTGTGCATTTGCAAGAACCCCCTTCCCCTCCATAAAAAGGAAGAAATGGCAGATTATCCCTTAAATTTCTTTAATTTAAGTTTAGTTAATTCTTTATATTGCTTTTATGATTATACCAAAGCATTTTTTATCTGAAAGTGTTTATGCTACATTGCTTTTTTTCCCCTTAACAATTGTCCACATAACATTGAGATTACCGGCCTGTCTTAATATTATCATATTAGGCAAATAAATACGGCATTGTTTTTCTTTTCTGTAGAAAAAAAAAAATTAAAAAGTTTTAATAAGTGTATAGTTACCGTTTTCAGAAGGTTACTGATCAAAGAGAAACAGCTCTAAAAATGTAGGAGGTGCATGTTTTTCCTCTCCTTACTCGAGTTGTTCCTCCTGTTTTCCGAACAATTATATTTTTTTCATGAATACACAGATACATTTACAGTGAGTTCTAATGAACAAAAAACTGAAAGCTATAGTATGTACAAATTAAAGTAAGTATCAAAAGTGAAAAAGAATTATTTACTGAAATTAAATACAACGCATGCATTTCATTGAGGATATCTTTTACTGTAATCAGTTTCAGTTCGCATTTCCTCAAATAAAAACAAAACGATTGATACCATTGTAGATGATTTGGGCACATGAATAAATTTTAAACAGGTGATGGATTTACAGTTTGATACATTGAAGTTAATATGGATGAATATGTAATTTCCTTTTTTATTTTTTTTTTTTTTTTGTTTATTGAAACAACAGAAGGATACAGCATCTCTTCATCATCTCTTCTGACCCAGTACTTCTTTAAAAAAAATTGAAAGAATTTTTTTTTCTAAATATCCTATGAAAAATTTTGATCACCTATTGTAGCCACACCCTTCCCCTGAGGGACATGATCTGAATAAAACTGAATCTACACTTCATAATGAAGCTTTCACATCTTTTCTGACACAGTGGTTCTTGAGAAGATTTTTGAAAGATGTCACTAAAATTTCACTAATTTTTAACTACTTTCCTTGAAAGAGGGCATGTCCCCTCATTTGAACAAACTTGAATCCCCTTCATCCACGGATGCTTTGTGGCAAGTTTGGTTGAAATTGACCCAGTAGTTCTTGAGAAGAAGCTGAAAATGTGAATAACGCAAAAAATATTCCAAATAATCATTACTACTGAACAGAGAAACTAATACATGTATTCAATCTCCAAGTATATATTACAAGAAAAAAGAATTGGCTGATTTATCAGATATCTCAAGAATTACGGTATCTTTACATGTCATAGTGATGTACATCAATTCTGGACACAATTTTCTGACCAAAAAGTTTTCTCCCTACAGTATTGCGAGTAATGCTGTCTGTCTCCCTCCGTGCCTGTGTTTGTGTTTGTCAATCTCTTGTTCCTTTCTCAAGTAAATATTCGTCAACACAATGTATAAACGACAATATATGCCAACCTTGACTGTACATATTGTCACAGACGACAATATGTGCTGGTGCTTGACTGTACATTTTGTCGTCCATTATGCAGTAGGAAAATAAGGCTCGTCTCGGTACATATTGTCGCCAGTGACAATATGTACAAAACAACAATATGTACCGTCACAGGGTCCCACCCCTTTCATTTGAAATAATTAAGAACGTATATACCATTTACATCATTATGATAGGAGAGTTGTATATACAACAATGTTAATTCACATTAAAAAAAGTAAAATTTTATGCAAGTAGAATTCATATAGAGGTGTGAAAATGAGTTTGGACTAGCTACAAACTGGACATAAAATCCTTAGAAAATTAGTTTTAGTAAATATAAAAATTAAATACAATTTAAAAACAAAACATATTGGTAGTCAATATTTAATCTGCATACATGAATGAACGATTTGGTACTTCAGGGATTCAATATACCAATTATATCTGCAGACATAACCAGTGTAATTTTGATATTATCAAGCTCGTATGGCCAGCATTGCAAAGAAGGAAGGGGGGGGGGGGGTCTTAAAATTTCAGAGATTGCTTATCCATCTACATTTAAATGCAAATGTAAGGTTTTAAGTTTGTGATAAAATATAATGTAAATTACATTTTTAATGTAAAAGATGTTTTCCAGCTTGAAATTTTTATGTTATTTGTAGATTCATAGCATTGTTTTCATCCCAAGTCTGAAAGACGCTGACTTTGAGCAACGTAACTTAGGAGAGAGAGGGGGAGGGGGATTTTCTGCTATTCAAAACGTGTTGTTAAAAAAATACAAAAAATTATCAAGATTATTTTAACAACCAGTTACACGAAGAAAGTATTTTTTACAAAATTTAACGATAGGTTTTTGTCATAAAAAATATTTCATATAAAAAACACACATTTTTCAACACTTAGATGAACAATAGTGTTTCAGTTTAAATTCTTCAAATTTGTTTTTGTCAAAGTGTACCTCTACAAAATTACTTTGCCTGTATATTGGTTAAACAAATGAGTCACCGAATTCTGAGATCTAGGCTAAGCTGACATTTTTGAAAATGAAGGATTTTATAGTTAGTTAGTGGATAGTTCTTCTCATAAACAGCCAAATGGGGGTAACTTTCGGAACTTCCTGTCCAAATATGACTCAAATGATTTTGTCCAAAATGTGTATACACATAGTATAAGTAGTCATGTATAAAATATACAAAAATAGCAAAAATTAAACAACAGAAAATTTTGGGGGGTTGATGTGTTGTACATTCTTAAATGCAGTTCATATAAACTTTAATAATTACAGAATTTGTTAGAGGCTATATTTACATCGATCTTCTCAAAACATGCTAGCTCTTTTGAGGTCTGAATCTCCCTCTTTCATCACAATAGATTAACATGTATAGGTAATAAAAAAAATTATATATGTAAAGTCTTTGATTCATATTTACATTACAGTTGAATATTGCAGAACATTTAACATTGTACTTAATTTTAAAAAGTTCGCAATAAATTGCCTCCCCTTCAGTGAAGTTGATATATTATTATTTTTTATCAGTGTGTAATAGATGTCTAGGTAGATAATTTTAGAGCAAGTAAATACCTAAGTGGGTGTAAGATTTATATTGACCAGTCTTGTTTGAATGATGTTTCTAAGGAAGAGATGCTGCAGTGTTTTCAAACATGGTAACTTTTTTAGGGTATGCTTGTTGACATATCAAGAGAATATCATTAAACTTGCAGGTTCTTATTAGAACAAGTAATTGATTAACACAGAACACATCATGTTCTTTGTGGGGGAAAAAAAACTTGTGAAATGGTACTCAAGTGAGCATTAAGCCCAATAAGCCTCTGGTATTTTGGACCAAAATGTGAGGGGAGGAGCATCATTGTGGTAGAAAATAACAACATTTTATCAACTTTATCAGGTAGCTCAGTTGACAGTGGCTCCATTGGCAGTCAAAATGTGCGACTTGTTGGAGGAACGACCTCAAACCGTGGTCGTGTTGAGGTCTACCACTCTGGTGTATGGGGCACAGTGTGTGATGATGGATGGGACTCAATAGATGCAGGAGTTATCTGTGTGATGCTGGGATATCAAAGGTATGTAATTAAGATCAACTTAATGTTAGAAATAAGATGAGCATTTTATTGAGGCCTGGCTTAACTTTGGGATCTCTATAGGAATCACTTTACCATTCCATCTGACTATTTGTCTGTCGATCATCAAATTGTGATGCGATTACTCAGAATATTTTCAAATTTTGTACAGAAGCACTTTACCATTGGGGAAAGACACCTTTAGATTTTGTTGTCATATCACTGTTTTGTGTCTGAATGTATATCTATTGAAAACAAAAAGACATATAAAGCATGCACTCATGTACTATATATACTCGTCTATAAGGCAATTTTTTTTGGGGGGGGGGGGGGATAAAGGACAAGATAGGCTAAGACCCCCTTTTGGCCCCTGGTTTGGGGTTTCTTTTTAAATGATGCAACAGTTTATCGGCAAAAATCTGTTGTCACCCCTACCACAAAATGAGTACTGGTTCTAAGTTGTATGATACACAGAGGTCACAGGAAGGTCAGAAAATATGTCAATTTCCGAATTTTCCCATTTTTATGCAAATTTTCATCGATTTCACAGCACATTTTGTTTCAGAAATCATAAAGCACAAGCTTGCCTACCTGCCAAATTCATATATTTCATACACTAGTATCAGATCCATTTTATGTATAAAAATCTCAAATAGGCAAGCTTGTGCTCTATATTTCCTGAAGTGAAAAGTATCTCAAATTTGATGAAATTCCACCAGAATTGAGGAAATTTGGGAAAATGTCCTACTTCTGCACCCTCTTGTCGTCTCCATGTCAGCTTTGAATCAAGATTAGTGCTGGTTTTAAAACAAGCATCATTTTAAGTCCTTAACTACAAATTATCACAATTTTAAGTGTGTTCTGATTTTTACATCAAGGGGCCACATTCAGCCGTTACCATACCTTGTCCTTTTAGTCTGAAAGTGTTCAACTTATAAAAAAGTTGTATAAAATTAAGATTTTTCTTGAGAAGGAAATATACTAATTAACCAACGATCATCGCTAATAAAGGTTGGAGCTTAATCTACAGTCCCTGAAACGTTCTACTTTCCCATTTTTAGGTCACCTGAGTCACTCAGGTGACCTATTGCTATCCGTTTTTGTCCGTCGTCGTGCGATGTGCGTTAACATTTGAACATTTTTAGCTTCTTCTCTGAAACTGCTCAACCAATTTCAAGTAAATTTGGCATATAGCATCTATGGGTGAAGGGAAACAAAAATTGTGAATTTCATGGTCCCTGCCCCCCTGGGGCCTGAGGGGTGGGGCTAAAACCACCAAAATTAATGCAATCTTTAAAAATCTTCTTCTTTACTCCTGGACATTAAGCAGTCAAACTGTTGGCATCATTGTAATAAGCATTGAGTCCTCTACCAAAATTGTGAAATTCATGGCCCCAGGGTCAGGGGTTCTGGTGCTAGGGCGGGGCTATATAGATCACATAGTGAAAGTGCATTATTTCTTTGAAAATCTTCTTCTCTACTCCTGGGTATTAAATAAACTAACTAAGTATATAGTTATGATGAGTAAGAGTGACTCTTCCAAAATTGTGAAATTCATGGCCCCTGGGGCAAGGGTTCTGGTGTTAGGGCGGGGCTCTATTGATTATATAGTGAAAATGCATTAGTTCTTTGGAAATCATCTTCTCTGCTCCTGGATATTAAATAAACTAACTAAGAATATAGTAATGATGAGTAAGAGTGACTCTTCCAAAATTGTGAAATTCATGGCCCCAGGGGCAGGGGTTCTGGTGTTAGGGTGGGGCTCTATTGATTATATAGTGAAAATGCATTAATTCATTGAAAATCTTCTTCTCTGCTCCTGGATATTAAATAAACTAACTAAGTACATAGTTAGGATGAGCAAGAGTGCCTCTTCCAAAATTGTGAATTTCATGGCCCCTGGGTCAGGGGTTCTGGTGTTAGGGCGGGACTCTATTGATTATATAGTGAAAATGCATTAATCCTTTGAAAATCTTCTTCTCTGCTCCTGGGTATTAAATTCAGTAACTAAGTACATAGTTATGATGAGCAAGAGTACCTCTTTCAAAATTGTGAATTTCATGGCCCCTGGGTCAGGGGTTCTGGTGTTAGGGTGGGGCTCTATTGATTATATAGTGAAAATGCATTAATTCTTTGAAAATCTTCTTCTCTACTCCTGGGTATTATTGAAACACATTAAATACATAGTTATGATAATCAAGGATGCCTCTTTCAAAATTGTGAAATTCGTGGCCTCTGGATCAGGGGTTCTGGTGTTAGGGCGGGGCTCTATTGATTATAAAGTGAAAATGTTTCAATTCTTTAAAAATCTTTTTCTCTGCACCTGGGTATTATTTAAACAAACTAAGTGTTATGATAAGCAAGGATGCCTCTTCCAAAATTGTGAAATTCATGGCCCTGGGGACAGGAGTTCTGATGATAGGGTGGGGCTATATAGATCCTATAGTGAAGGTGAATTATTTCTTTGAAAATCTTCTTCTCTGCCCCTGGGTATTGCTTAAACAGACTAAAGTACATTGTTATGATACACAAGGATGCCTCTTCCAAAATTGTGAATTTTATGACCCCAGGTTTAAGGGTTCTGGTGGGGGGGGGGAGGGGGGGGGGGCTTCTATTGATTATAAAGTGAAAAAGCAAAATTTCTTTGAAAATATTCTTTTCTTCTTCTGGTTAAAAAAGCAAAGAAGCTAAGTGTATAGTTATGATGAGCAAGTGTGCTTCTTCCAGAGTAGTGAATTTCATGACCCCTGGGTCAGATGTGCTGGTGTGAGGGTGGGGCTCTTGATAATTTAGTGAAAATGCATTAATTCCATTAAATAATCCTGTTTGCTCCTTAGTGTTAAGCAGATAAACAAAGTGATGATGAGCAAACATATGGTCCCAGGGTCAGAAGCTCTGGTGTTTTGGGGGGGGGGGGGGGGGGGCTCTATTGATAATATAGTGAATCTGTAGTAAAAATGCATTATTTGTCTAAAAATCTTCTCCGCACCTGGGCATATCTGAGGCAAACAGAGTAAAAGTTTTTATAAGGAAGGGAATTTTTACCAGATTTTGGACCATTTGGTCAAGTGTTCTGGTCCTGGCCAGGACTCTATTAGTTTGTATTCTACTGAGAGGAGTTATTCCCCTTTGCCATTTACTTTTGATAATTTATCACTGTAAATAATGTACTTGAAAGGTAAATAGAACAAGAGAATTATGCAAAAACTTTTATTGTACAATACAAAAAGTACTTTCATAGTTTTAATGATCAGATAGACTTGTAAGTAGTAGATAAATAAAAATGAGACAAAAATAACTTGAATTATTAAATGTTCATCAAGGACCAAGAGAGGCCAATGTAAGAAATTTCAACAAAGGATTAAAATAGTACCGAAGCATTGATAATTTGTTAATATACTGTATGGTGATAGTGATAAATGGGGATCAGATTTATAGAACATAATTTATAAACTGTTATTGAATATTAAGACCAATTATTTTGTTGATCATGATCACCCTATTTTACTTGCTTTTTGGCAACAAAATTTCACCTTTCAGTTCATTTTATACTCTATGCATCCTTTAAATTGTTGTATCATACTCAGGTGACCGTTCAGGCCCTTGGGCCTCTTGTTCCGTTCGCTCACCGTTCGTTCAGCATGCGTTCACCGTTCGCTCTCCTTTCACAGTTTTGCATTCAGTGTTCACCGTGCGCTTGCATTCAGCGTTCACAAAGCATTCACCGTTCGCTCTTCGCTCGTTCACTTTGCGTTCACCTTGCGTTCAGCGTTCACTTATCGTTCAGTCTCTAGTGTCATTCGGAACTCCGAAGTGAAAGGACTTATCTTTTTTTTAAGGATTTACAGGTTTTGAATTTAATAAATAACATACCATGTTTAAAGAATCATTATTTCATGGTAAAAAAATTATCTACAATATTTATTTTTATTATTCTAACTTAGCTGTTACGTTATTTATAAAATTTATCCGGAAAATAAATGTTGTTATACGTACATGTACGTACCTATGTAGAATGATGCTGAAAAATTAAATTTAAATACCGGCAAAATACTGATACTTCAAGCACTGCAACATTTTGTTGTTATGTTAAAGACGACAAATCGTTAATGGATAGATAATAATCGAAGTTAATTAATTTACCAACTGCAGCAAAAATACGAAAATATTTATTTCTATCACATTTTTTTCAAATAATACAGACATACATGTTAGATCTTGTTCTGAGAATGATAAACAGTACTGCGGATATCCAATTAATTTAATATCTTTAGAGCGAATTAAATTGATAGTGTGGTTTAAAAAAAATATTTGTTTAAAATGTAATACATTAAAGAATTGTTTTCTACTTTACACATATAAAGTCTTTAATTTATAGAGAGAGAAATGCCTTTATAACATGATCGGTTACTTAGTTAGTATATCCAGTACATTTTAATTAACCTTTAAAAAGAAGTTAATGTGTTTTGTAGCACAAAAATTTCAGTCTCAAAACAAACATGCATCTAAACAAAGTCATTAAACAATAGTAGTTCAAAATATACATGTACCGGCGGTGATATTTTAAATTGGCAGGGAGTATGTTTAAAATTCAAGCGGCTTAATTATTCCAAGTATTTATTCCCAATGTATTTTGTTCATTTATTTATTTATTTATTTTAGAAATGTTGGAATCAGATCGAGAAATGATAAGAAAAATGTTAAAATTTCTTGGAAATAACCGTATATACTTGCCTATAAGTCGGTCCGCCTATAAGTTGGTTGTATTTTTTAAGCTAACATTAAAGGGATTGACCCGCTATTATACCAATATTTTCATAACTCGCCCATAAGTCGGACAGGGGTTTTTGGACCAAAGTTTAACTCCCAAAAAACCGACTTATAGGCGAGTATATACGGTAACACTTTGCCTTCGGTGTGACGAGATTTTCACACCTGCACAGTGTCGTGACAGGTCAAGCACATGGACTTCATGTGAACTTGAAGCAGGAAAATAAAATCCAATTATGACTGTAAAACAAATGGATTAATTTGTTGATAAAAAAAAATGGTTACTTTCATTGCCTCATATATATTTAGAAAAAATTTAGAATTTTTGTTTGATATATGTACAAACATTTGAGGAAGGGGGGCTAAAACCGAATATCTCTCTCTCTCTCTCTCTCTCTCTCTCTCTCTCTCATTTGTTTAATAAAAACTATGACAGCATATTACTTAAATATCAAGTTGTGAAAATTTAATATATAACAAATAATATGATTGCCTCTTTGTATCATCTTTTCCGAGTATAATTACAGCCGGGAAATGTCTATAGATACATGTAGAAGTCTGCTCAATAAATCATCATAAAAAAATAAAACTGACACATAAATATATTATTGCATTAAAATTTTAAACTACGAGTGTATTTATGCAATACATCCACATACCTTTGTAAAATATTTTTTTCTCATTATTTTACACGGAATCGCCTTGTATGGTTGTTACAACCGTTGTAATTCATTCTATAAGTCTGTAGTTTTCACATTATTTGTAATAGTTTTATATATCAAATAAGAATAAAGTTAACATATTTATTTTACAACTAGATTAATTTCATCTGTTATACTACAGCGTTCGGTAACAATTACAATGTTTTACAGCGATAAAAATCGTGTTATCAAAAAGTTGAATTCATCATACATATGTGCAGAAAATGTTGTAAGAAACTTAAATTAATAATTCCACTTAATGTGCATGTATCGTCTTTCTTAGGACAATTTTCATTGATTTGTTTATTTATTTTTTATTTATTTTTTTAGCACCAGGCATTCGAATGCAATAGAATAGTTTCACTGCAAGGAAAAGATCAGAGGCATTCCGAATAAATCGTTCATCTTGCGTTCACCGTTCACTTTGCGCTCGCGTTTGCGCTCCGTTTGCCTTCTGCATTCGCTCACCGTTCACACATCGTTCACCAAGTTGCATTCAGCGTTCACACATCGTTCACTCACCATTGGCTCTGCGTTCATTCACCTTTCGTTCACCGTTCGCTCACTGTTCAAGTGGGAAAGTAGAACATTTCAGGGACTGTAATGCAGGAAAGGAAGATTATTGGTTACTATAAAACAAGTGCTTTCCTATTTTAGATTACTCAGTGTCTAGGAGATCCATAGACTTAATTCAGATAACTCATTACATTTACAGAGCTTAATATCTAAATGATATGCTCAGGTGATTAATAGTTTATATAAAGGATAGAGTGGGACAGGATTTTTTTTATATTTTCAAGAGTGCAAGCACGAGTGAAAATGGTAAAAAAAAAAAAAATCTGTCTCGTGAGTGAAGTTAATTCAATATCCAACGATACAACATTGAATATTCTGTTTATTACATTTTCTTTGATTTTCCCTTTGCCTCTGTTTTTAAGCTCACCTGAGCTGAAAGCTCAAGTGAGCTTTTCTGACCACCTGTTGTCCGTCGTCCGTCCGTCTGTCTGTCCGTCCGTAAACTTTTCACATTTTCAACTTCTTCTCAAGAACAACTGGGCCAATTTTAACCAAACTTGGTACAAAGTATCCTTGGGTGAAGGGGAGTGTAAATTATTAAAATAAAGAGCCAAGTTTCCTTACAAGGGGAGATAATCAAGAAAAGACAAAAATAGGGTGGGGTCATTAAAAAATCTTCTTCTCAAGAACCACTGGGCCAGAAAAGCTGAAACTTATGTGGAAGAATCCTGGGATAGTGTAGATTCTAAATTGTTCAAATCATGACCCCAGGGGGTAGGGCGGGGCCACAATGGGGAATCTAAATTTTACATTGAAATATATAAGAAAAATCTTTAAAAATCTTCTTCTCAAGAACCACTGGGCCAGAAAAGCTGAAACTTATATGGAAGCATCCTGGGGTAGTGTAGAATCTAAATTGTTCAAATCATGACCCCAGGGGGTAGGGCAGGGCCACAATAAGGAATCCAAGTTTTACATTGAAATATATAGGAAAAATCTTTAAAAATCTTCTTCTCAAGAACCACTTGGCCAGAAAAGCTGAAACTTATATGGAAGCATCCTGGGGTAGTGTAGATTCTAAATTGTTCAAATCATGACCCCCGGGGGTAGAGCGGGGCCACAATAGGGAATCTAAGTTTTACATTGAAATATATAGGAAAAATCTTTAAAAATCTTCTTCTCAAGAACCACTTGGCCTGAAAAGCTGAAACTTATGTGGAAGCATCCTGGGGTAGTGTAGAATCTAAATTGTTCAAATCATGACCCCTGGGGGTAGGGCAGGGCCACAATGGGGAATCAAAATTTTACATTGAAATACATAAGGAAAATCTTCTTCTCAAGAACCACTGGGCCAGAAAAACTTAAACTTATGTGGAAGCATCCATTGTTCAAATCATGACCCCCCGGGGGTAGGGCGGGGCCACAATAGGGAATCCAAGTTTTACATTGAAATATATAGGAAAAATCTTTAAAAATCTTCTTCTCAAGAACCACTGGGCCAGAAAAGCTGAAACTTATGTGGAAGCATCCTGGGATAGTGTAGATTCTAAATTGATCAAATCATGACCCCCCGGGGGTAGGGCAGGGCCACAATAGGGAATCCAAGTTTTACATTGAAATATATAGGAAAAATCTTTTAAAATCTTCTTCTCAAGAACCACTTGGCCAGAAAAACTGAAACATACGTGGAAGCATCCTGGGATAGTGTAGATTCTAAATTGTTCAAATCATGACCCCCAGGAGTAGGGCGGGGCCACAATAGGGAATCCAAGTTTTACATTGAAATATATAAGAAAAATCTTAAAAAATCTTCTTCTCAAGAACCACTGGGCCAGAAAAGCTGAAACTTATATGGAAGCATCCAGGGGTAGTGTAGATTCTAAATTGTTCAAATTATGACCCCCCGGGGGTAGGGCAGGGCCACAATAGGGAATCCAAGTTTTACATTGAAATATATTAAGAAAAATCTTTCAAAATCTTCTTCTCAAGAACCACTTGGCCAGAAAAGCTGAAACTTAAGTGGAAGCATCCATTGTTCAAATCATGACCCCCTTGGATAGGGCGGGGCCACAATATGTATATTAAAAGGGGGAAAATCTGGTAAAGAACAGCATGGCCAAAGTTACTCAGGTGAGCGATGTGGCCCATGGGCCTCTTGTTCTTAACACAGTGTCAAAGGCTGTGACATCATAGTTGAGCAGTTGAGACGTCATAGCTTAGCAGTTGTGAGATTGAAAACATTGTAATATTGATTTTAGCAACATATTTGGGAAGAAACTTGCAGTTTTAATCAAGTTGGTTTAGTTATTATCTCAGTCTTATTACAGGCCAGAAATTTTATTTTACTTACTTTGATATCCTTTCACACTGTGACAGAATATCACTTTGGTATCCTTTCACACTGTGACAGAATGTCACTTTTATTCAATGAAATAATCACAGTAATTCACTGTTAAAAATGTAATAAAGCAAGATTACCCTACTACTGTTTTAGAGACAATGCCATTGCATATTCCTATGCGTACTTTGGATCTGGAACAGGACAGATCTGGCTGGATAATGTTGCATGTAGTGGAACAGAGACAGATATATCAATGTGCTCACATAACGGATGGGGAAGTCATAACTGTGGACACAGTGAAGATGCAGGGGTGGCATGTTCAGGTGAGCTATTAATTTTGTATTCTTAAAGGTATAAATTCATCAAACAGAACATTACTACAAATTAAAATAGAAATAATTTATTATATTAATTATAGTTGTATATTAATTCTTAATTTCTTTGAAAAAGCTCAGTCAAAGAAAGAGGGCGTACAAGGAGAGGACAATCCCCCACTCTGAGACAATACGTTTCTCAATTTTCAAAGTTCACAGAAAAGTAATATTTTTGTAAAATTATGTTTTCAGTACTGACATCTTCAAAACATTTGATTCATTTATTTTATTAATGACTTACTTGGCTGGTAATTTGTTTTTAAAGTTCCCAGTTAAGCATATTTACCTGAAAATGGGGTTATTTGCGTCATAAAAAATGATTTTCTGAATATGAATGGGTCAAGTCTCCATTCTACATTAACTTTTATATGACAGAAAAGTAAATGTAAAATCTATTTTATGTTCCAAAAAAATGGAGTCTGACTTTTTGTTTCAAAAGAAAAGGAATCTCAATCCATTCTATATGAAAATCTAACATTTCTGTAAAAAAATTTTACACTTCAACAGACTCATTTATTTAAATCACACTGACCCACATTATTGACAAGACTTCATGCTGTAGTGGTTAATGTGTTCAGGCTTTCACCTAATCGTGAGCTTTGAAGAGAGATCGAATCATGTGGAGCTTTTTTTTCTTTTCACATATACCTTAAAAACATGTGTGAAAAACAAATTATTAATCAAATAGCTATTCAGTAAAATAAAGGAAGCAAATGTGTAAAAGATGGTACTGACAATAAAATTTTTGAAAAATGTAACCTTTCATGAACTTTAAGATTAAGAAATGTCTTTTTTCAGAGCGGGGGATTGTCCTTGCCTTGTACGCCTCCATCCTTTGAAATTTCCTTGGTATTTAAAATTAATTTAAACTTTCAGTGTGTATTAATGCTCATATAATTTGGTAATACATTTAGATTAACATTCAGTAAAGAATATTTTTTTTATTACAGGTACTCTCAAACCACCATCTACCACAGAGAAACCAGCCCCTGTAACACTTACAGACAGAACTTACTCCACAGGTAATCTAGTGTAGTTTGATTATAGTGATGTCCTAATCATTCTCAGATTATTTGATTATAGTGATGTCCTAATCATTCTTAGATTGTTTGATCATAGTGATGTCCTAATCATTCTCAGATTGTTTGATTATAGTGATGCCCTAATCATTCTCAGATTGTTTGATCATAGTGATGTCCTAATCATTCTCAGATTGTTTAATTATGGTGATGTCCTCGTCATTCTCAGATTGTTTGATTATAGTGTTGTCCTCATCATTCTCAGATTGTTTGATTATAGTGTTGTCCTCATCATTCTCAGATTGTTTGATTATAGTGTTGTCCTCATCATTCTCAGATTGTTTGATTATAGTAATGTCCTAATCATCCTCAGATTGTTTGATTATAGTAATGTCCTAATCATCCTCAGATTGTTTGATCATGGTGATGTCCTAATCATTCTCAGATTGTTTGATTATGGTGATGTCCTCGTCATTCTCAGATTGTTTGATTATAGTGTTGTCCTCATCATTCTCAGATTGTTTGATTATAGTAATGTCCTAATCATTCTCAGATTGTTTGATCATAGTGATGTCCTAATCATTCTCAGATTGTTTGATTATGGTGATGTCCTCGTCATTCACAGATTGTTTGATTATAGTGTTGTCCTCATCATTCTCAGATTGTTTGATTATAGTGTTGTCCTCATCATTCTCAGATTGTTTGATTATAGTGATGTCCTAATCATCCTCAGATTGTTTGATTATAGTGATGTCCTAATCATTCTCAGATTGTTTGATTATAGTGATGTCCTCGTCATTCTCAGATTGTTTGATTGTAGTGTTGTCCTAATCATTCTCAGATTGTTTGATTGTAGTGATGTCCTAATCATTCTCAGATTGTTTGATTATAGTGATGTCCTAATCATTCTCAGATTGTTTGATTATAGTGATGTCCTCATCATTCTCAGATTAATTATATTGATGTCCTCATCATTCTCAGATTGTTTGATTATAGTGATGTCCTAATCATCCTCAGATTGTTTGATTATAGTGATGTCCTAATCATTCTCAGATTGTTTGATTATAGTGATGTCCTAATCATTCTCAGATTGTTTGATCATAGTGATGTCCTCATCATTCTCAGATTGTTTGATCATAGTGATGTCCTCATCATTCTCAGATTGTTTGAATGTTTCTACCAATGCAATCAATCAACAGGGGCTGTGTTACTTGCTGATGCCAGTCAGGGTGAACCTGGTGATTTTACGACCTTTACAATCCCACTGAATACCACAGCTGGAGAGAACCTAAGAGTTCTATACAAGTTTTCATATGGCGTCTGTAATGACACTAGTATGCTAGAGGTAAGAATCAGATTTTGTCTGCATACCTTGATTATAAGGATTCATACTCTCAATTAAAATGGGTGACATGATTAGAAGTTACTCAGATTTATCAGATTGGGGATGGTGGTGGAGGGGGAGAAGCTACTTAAAGTACTTAAAAAGTTTACATTAATTCCTATCAATAGAGATGTCTTCAGATAGTAATTCTAACACCACCAGAACTATGTTTCCTAGGTAGAGGCACATATAAGATGCAGTCATTATTTTCACACACTGTATCATCTCCATATGTGTGTTTGTGATATATAGGGTAATTTTGTAAAGGGTGTTTTATTCACAGTTTTGCGGACTGTTTAGAAGCTGGTAGTGATCTAAAAATTGGTAGCCCACCTGTTCAAGTTTTGGTATATTAGTCAGATTGATACAATAACCACTAATTGTTTTTACAATCAGATCAGACAAAGTGAAGCAGAATCATCCTCATTGTTGTTGAGGTCCACAAGTAAGGAAGTGGATTCCTGGCAGTGGCTGTGCTCACCACTTAAGGACAATGCTCTAGGTCAGCTGGAGTTCAAGGCCATTCGTGGATCAAGTGCTTTAGCAGATGTGCAGATAGATACAGTTCATGTCTCCAAGGAAAAGTGTCCACGTAAGTAAATCTGTTTACAATGGACTATTGCATAGTGTTTCACAGAAGTTTAATTTGCACTGATTATATTTTAAATATACATGAACTAGTAAATATTTGAATACTTGGTTACTTAATTTACCTGGTACTATATGCAAATTCATTGCAGGATCTATTTTATTTTGATTAACTACTTTCTTATCATAGCAATTCAAACAAAAATTAAAGGCATACCAGTAAATGTTTCTTTGTGTTTTCTGTAGACATTGCATCATGTAGGTTTGAGTCTGCAAAGATTTGTGATTATACCTTGCAACAAAGCACTTCTCAATTCCACTGGTCATGGGGCAGTACCATTATCAGTGGTGCCCCTCTTGGAGACCCTATATATGGCAAGTCAGGTAAACCCACATCCTCTGAAGCTTATTGTTTATATTAAAACTATAATATTGAATAATTACTGAGGACTGAGTACTCTGGTGATTGTTGTTTTAATTCATTTTCAGGACACTACATGTACACACAGAGTTGTGTGAACTCCATGCCTGTCCGGGAAGGTGCCACTGCAAGTCTCTCTACACCCAGGTTTCAGACCACATCAGACATGCATGTAACATTTTACTACCTCATGAGTGGATCTGATATAGGGATTCTGAATGTATATGTCAACTCAGAGTCCAGCCCCACCCCCAAGAAAGTGTTCTCAAAGGCTGGTAATCAAGGAACACGCTGGTACCTGGCATGTGTAGACATACAGGGCAATAATGACAATGTATCAGTCTCTTTTACTGCCTATCAGGGCTTAGGATGTAATGCTACATTTGGAATCGACTCTGTCATGGCAGATGAAGGATCTTGTCCATGTAAGTTTTTCTTAAATTTTAACGCAACAAAAATGTGTAAGTTGTGTTACCACAAAAAAATATGTATACAGTTGAACTTCGGTATCTTGAACATAGATATCTCAAATACCATGGATATGTCGAAGTAATTTTGAGGTCCCAACTACTTATTCCTTAAGAATTTTACCCTGGATATCTCGAATCCGCGGTTATCTCGAAGTATTTTCTTGAAGTATATATATATATATATATATATATATATATATATATATATATATATATATATATATATATATATATATATACTTCGAGTAATGCATCTATATGACTGGATTGAATGTCTAAAAGTACATGTAAAATAAACAATCAAGGTTATAAGGATGATGTTGCCTTTTACTGTATTGTTTGTTGAAAAATATACAGGTGACTCTCAATCTCTCGAAGTTCAAGGGACCGTAAGAAAAGTTCAAGAGATCGGGGGGTTGGAGAGATAGAAAGTGAATAAAATCTGGATTTTTCAGTTCCGATCATCATTGTTCTACTATTATACATACTGGAAGTATATGTTGATAATGTCATTACATGTTTTCAATTGTAATTTACAGGTAATTCACTTGATTTCAACAACAATGATCGTATTTTGAATAAATAAAATGATTAATTTAAGTTTCAGTATTTATTAGGGCCCCACAAGGATTTGCGGGTGCCCTATAGTAATCACTGTCTGTCTGTCAGTCCGTCTGTCATTCTTCTGTCCACAAATTTTCTGTTTTTTTCTAATAACTTTTTTTGTAGTTGACCAATTAAGTTCAAATTTGGTATGTTGGTTGAAGAGGCAGTAAGACATATTTTGATGCTAAGTTTGGTTCTCTATGTCATCCAGTTTGGAGCTGGGGTGGTGGGGTAGATTCCGCAACTTTACATTAGAATGAATGCCAGAGCAAAGAGAGATAACTGCTGAGAATGTTCCCATTGTAAACTATGAAAGCTGCAACTAGTCCCATGGGATTAATTAACTTTCCTCTTGAAGAAAATCCAAAGCATTATCTGCTGCTGTCAAATTGAGATTAATTAACACCTCTGTCTGCAAATGAAGTTTGTTTTGAAGTTAAGGTCAATTCTGGATGATGTTTACATTCTCTGATATGTGGATTTAAATAATGTTCATACTTTATTTTGGTAAAATATACAATGAGTTATGAATTTATTGATAATTATTGATAATGATAATTATTGATTTTTTGTTTTTATTTATTTATTTTATTTATTTATTTATTCATTTATTTTTTTGGTCTGCCGTATGTAAATTCAAGAATACTATTAATTTTAACGGGTAGTCCAATAATAAACTCATTCTATCATTACTGAAAGAGTTCTTATTGTAAACTTGGAAGAAAAGGATGAGAGAGCAGTACAATTAATCCCTTGGGATTAATTATCTTGACTGGGGCAGAAAATTTTCTAGGCCTATCTTTATTTGTCATTTTAAGATAAATTAACCTTTGTCTGCAACTGATGTTTGTTTTGAAGTTAAGGTCAAGTCTGGGTGATATTTGTATTCACTGAAGGCTGGCATTTTATAAAACATATGCTTTATTCTTGTTTAAATATACATTTAATTGAGTTAATATAGATATGTTTTTTACTGCCTTACCGGTATGTAAATACAGGGATACTCTTTACAGGTTGTTGGATATTTAGGAATTATCTTGAAATTTTATAAATACAGTTGATATTGCATATTCTCCTTCATATATTTTTAAATTTTTGTAATTAATTAAAATTCTCATTCTGTAAGCTGCACCCTTACATTTCTACCCCTCGGCGGGGCCCTTGCTGACTGGTCAGTTTTCTAGTTTGTTCTCATTTCATGATTACATGAATCCTGAATAGCAATTGTCGATTTGGCTATCCCCCGGGCGCAGTTTGATCGGTCCTTCACACAATTGCTAGTAATTGGTATACAATTCTTGATATAGAATATCTTGTGAAATGTTTGCCAAACTGGGATTGTGTAGACTTTTATAATATTTAAGTTCATAATCTATGGAAAATTACTGACACGTCCCTAAATTATTTTCTCAAAATTATTGCTCGTCCAGTCGAAATAAGTTGTGAAGCAATTTGTTTATAATTTACCAATTAATTATATCAACACTCAGACGACTCACATGTGTAGTATCATCTATTTAAACACCCAATATAACATGTCCATCCCAGCCCTAGGCGTTCACCGTTCCAGGTAAGTCCAAGCTGAATTAATTTTATGCTTGATTGACGTGTATACATGCGCAATCAAAACTTCGAGAGATAGAGAGTAAAAAACAATGAAATATGTGTAACGGGACCCAGGTCTTGGTTCGAGAGATAGAGGCCTTCGAGAGATCAGGAGTAAATTTGCTTAGTTATGTAGAGGAAAAAACGGAACCGGAGGTTCACTTCGAGCGATCGAGAACTTCGAGAGATCGGAGTTCGAGCCATCGAGAGTCACCTGTAATTTATTTCTAAGAAAAATACATTATCATTAACAAATCAGTTGATAAAGGGCACTGATAAAGTGTATTTTAAAGATACATACAACAAACAAATTTCCTTATATCCCAAACAGAAGAGTTAATTTGTTTTATTTTCAATATTTCTCTTGATGAATTTTGAAATTTTTATTGTGTAAAATGTAACAATAGACTCCTGAAAATGTTCTAAGAAATTTTACAGGAATAAAACTTCATACACTAAAACTTTTTAAAATTTAGACTGAATTGTAAAGTTGCATTTTTCCACTTTTCACAAATTATTTGGCTTGGTCAAACATGAAGTTGTAAAACTTAACAGATATCACTTCTTCAGTTAGAGAGACAGTATTTAAGCAAAGAATTTTGGAAAATAAAAATTTGCGTTATTTATCCCAAGTGTCAAAAATCTGTAATTGATATCACAGGCACTTGGGGTATGGACAACCCACAACCCCCCCCCCCCCCTTTTCCATTTCTTTTTCTTTTTAAATCTGGGGTCGAGTCACCTTTTTCCTATTTTTGTATTCTAATATGCACTATATTTTATCGATAATGTAATTTTTTTGTTTCTATAAGCTGTTTTTAAATATATCGTTTTCAACTGATACATAAAAAGAGAGAAGGTTTGCAACTCTTTTCTCGTCGTCTGCCTCACCTCGCTTGAACTTCGCCTGATTATTTATCTAAAGCATAAGAACACATGGAATATGCATACGTCAATAAATTTGTTACACTTTCTTCTTCCTTTTCATATTTCCATTTAATTTTTATGTGCCCCCGATTTGTAAATATTTCGATTAAATCACCCGCATTTAGGGTAAAATTTGTTGATGTGCACCAGCTGGGACCAGCATTATCAGGGAAAAATGACAGCTGAAAAAATCTTTGATTATAGCCCCTTTGATAAGAGAATTCTTTTGACTTCAAATTTTGTTTTAGGGTTGGGGTGGGGGATTAAGGTCCATTAGTGGGGAACAAGTCTTTCAATGAATGTTTTTAGTCTAAATTAAAAGCCAAAACTTATGTTCAGAAAAAAAAATGTTGGGGAGGAGGAGGGGGGAGGTTGCCTGCACCCAACCCCCACCCCTCACAACCACCCCACCCCAAAATTATATATTCCCTAATGTTATGTTCACCTGAGTGGAAGTCAGTAGCAAGTGAAATAGCTTTCCAGAACTATTTGTATCAATTTGGAATTTCCCAATCTATTTTTAGACCAATGTAGAGAAAATAAATCCTTATATTCACCTGGAAGGTCACGTGCAGGTGAATATAACGTAGTATTTTTTTCTATGTTGTTGGATCTCAGCCAATCAGAGAGATAGAAATTATTCAATCATATAATAAAATACACAATTTATCACATACATGTATTTACTCCTTTATGCAGTTGATATACAAGATGAACAATGTCTAGTGTTTGATGTTTTTCAGACCCATTAGTGGATTTGATGTGTGATGTAGAAAATCCAGACTTGTGTCGGTACCAGTCCAACTGTACCAAGGGCTCTAAGTTCCAGTGGGCCAGGGGTTCAGGTGAAACTCCCTCCTCTAACACTGGACCATTTACTGATGGAAATGGTAATCCATCAGGTATGATGAAAATTCTTATGGTGTTTGTTTTCTGTAACATTAAGAAATTCTTTAAATTATGATGATCACACAAACATTATCTGTCAAGGAAATTCTAATATATGCCATCAGCTCACCTTAAGGAAGTAGAAATGAGCATATGCTGTACCATTGGCTTTGGCATCCAAAGCAAAAGTTTTTGCAGCAGGTCTATTCCCATGTAAACTTAAGCCCTATCCAAACCAAATTGGAGAATGTACATGTATCTAGCTACGCACACTACTAGACTTGCTTCTGATTCTGCATTTTGGCTATTCTTTCCAAACATGTGCCCGGTAAAAGTTTTGTGTTCCATAGTAATTGATCTCTAAGGCCTGCTTTGACCTTATCTTCATCGAAGGTTGCATTTAAGGATGCAGCTTCACTCCTTCAGATGTTGCAAATGATTCATAATTTGCCATATATATATATTTTTTTAAACAGGTAAGTATACATGTATATCCAATCTGTATCTGAGACTTGCATGGATAATGCATCCAACTACCTTGTTTAAGATGTCGAAGGCCTATAATATTGATGAACTTCATGATACTTGTGGATCTTACTGAACATTCAATTGCTTTGAGACTTGGCCTAACTAAATATAGATAACCATTCCTTCAGATTGAATCTTTTTTAAATGTTGTTTGTGTATATTTGATTAGGTCATTACCTGTTTGTGGAGGCCTCTGATGGAATGCCTGGAGATGAGAGCTTCCTCTGGTTCCCATCCCTAGAGACAACTCAGACCTCCAGTCTACAGTTTAAGTTCCACATGTATGGGGACCAGATAGGTGTACTGTCGGTCCTGAGCCGAGCTATCAGTAGAGGTGTCATCACCCAGCTGTGGTCCATAACGGGCAATCAATGGCAGTATTGGCACAAGGTGAATGTTTCTACATCTAGGAAAATGTAGTGGGTGATGAAAATTTTTATTTTGAAAAGAAAGATTGGGGAAAAAAAATTTCTATTGATGGAACCTGGTTTGAAACCAAGAGTACTTATGTATTTTGATATTTAATGCAAAGAGTTATATTGTGGGACAGACATGTATATGGAAAATGAAATTGGGTCTTCACTGTGAGATTATCTGGTCTATAAATTTAAGAAAATGCATACTTATACGTAGATACCAGGCATCAAAGTGAACTTTTGTTTGCATTCTAGATTAAAGGAAATCAAAGTTTTTCCACATTCTTTTGACAGGAATGTGTCACAATTCCAGTTTCTTCCCGTTTTGAACTATATTTTGTTGCCCAGAAAGGCAGTGGACATAGATCTGACATGGCATTAGATGATATTGTGATAACTAATGCTGCTTGTCCAGGTACTTGGATAAATTATTAGCACTTCATATTCCGTTTCACATAATGATATAGCCTAAATGAGTTTTGTGACCAAAACTTCTGGATATTTTAATTGTAATTACTGTAATTTTTAAAATCATGCTTATTCTTTGTTCATCAGTCATAATTACCGGTATTATATGTTTACTGGTTTTTCCCTATATAAAATTAGATATAAATAATTCCCAAGAATTCACTGTGAATGGACTAATCCCCATTTTGCTGTGGGTTAGACAAGTGAGCTAATCCCAAGTTCAAGAGCTTAGTTCCCAGTTATGTTTAATCCTGTAGATTTTACTTTTGTGTCAGCATAATAAACTTAAATAGTTATACATTGAGGGAGTCAGCAAAATTCCAGTTCCCTTTCACCTTGGGAAATAATCTTGGCCTCAGGGAACTAGAATCTCGCTAACTCCTTTAGATATATTCTTTAACTTTGTACAAACATCAAATTTACAAAAAGTAGTTTATTCAAAAATTGTCCAGTTAAAACCTTATTTTTGTTAAATAGATACGTCAGTAAGTTGTAATTTTGAAGATGACTTCCTCTGTGGCTACATGAATCAGAGTGTTGCACCATGGACAAGGGTCAAATATACAGATACCAGCTACCCATCTTCTTCAACCAATAAGAGAGGTAATGAAAACAGAGTTGGAAGATGGTTTTAAAGAGGGATACATTGTTTGTGTAAACTGCATTTTTAGGTCACCTGAGTCACTCAGGTGACCTATCGCTATCTGTTTTCGTCCGTCGTGCGTTGTGCGTCGTGTGTTAACATTTGAACATTTTCAGCTTCTTCTCTGCAACCCCTGCACCAATTTCAGCCAATTTTTGCATATGGCATCTATGTGTGAAGGGGAACAAAATTTGTGAATTTCATGGTCCCTGCCCCCCTGGGGCCTGAGGGGTGGGGCTAAAACCATCAAAATTAATGCAATCTTTAAAAATCTTCTTCTTTACTCCTGGACATCAAGCAGTCAAACTGTTGATGTGATTGTAATAATCATTGAGCCCTCTACCAAAATTATGAAATTCATGGCCCCAGGGTCAGGGGTTCTGGTGCTAGGGCGGGGCTATATAGATCATATAGTGAAAGTGCATTATTTCTTTGAAAATCTTCTTCTCTACTCCTGGGTATTATTGAAACAAATTGAATACATAGTTATGATAAGCAAGGGTGACTCTACCAAAATTGTGAAATTCATGGCCCCAGGGTCAGGGGTTCTGGTGCTAGGGTGGGGCTATGTAGATCGTATAGTGAAAGTGCATTATTTCTTTGAAAATCTTCTTCTCTACTCCTGGGTATTATTTAAACAAATTAGATACAGAATTATGATCAGCAAGGGTGACTCTACCAAAATTGTGAAATTCATGGCCCCAGGGTCAGGGGTTCTGGTGCTGGTGTGGGGGGGGGGGGGTATATAGATCATCTAGTGAAAGTGCATTATTTCTTTAAAAATCTTCTTCTCTACTCCTTGGTATTATTGAAACAAATTAAATACATAGTTATGATAAGCAAGAGTGACTCTACCAAAATTGTGAAATTCATAGCCCCAGGGTAAGGGGTTCTGGTGCTGGGGGGGGGTGGGGGGGGGCTATATAGATCATATAGTGAAAGTGCATTATTTCTTTGAAAATCTTCTTCTCTACTCCTGGGTATTATTTAAACAAATTAAATACATAGTTATGATAAGCAAGAGTAACTCTACCAAAATTGTGAATTTCATGGCCCCTGGGTCAGGGGTTCTGATGTTAGGGCGGGCTCTATTTATTATATAGTGAAAATGCATTAATGCTTTAAAAATCTTCTCTGCTTCTGGGTATTATTTAACAAACTAAGTACATTGTTATGATAAGCAAGGACACCTCTTCCAAAATTGTGAAATTCATGGCCCCAGGGACAGGGGTTCTTGTGCAAGGGTGGGGCTATATAGCTCCTACAGTGAAGGTGAATTATTTCTTTGAAAATCTTCTTCTCTGCCCCTGGGTACTATTTAAACAAACTAAGTACATTGTTATGATATGCAAGGATGCCTCTTCTAAAATTGTGAATTTCATGGCCCCAGGCAGACTTGTCGAAATCTGTCGGTCCTGTCGGCAAGGCCGGTAAAAATTTGTCTGGACTGATAACTTTTAAGAAAACGCCGGTCCTAATGACCGTTTGAAAAAATCGAGCGTGAAGCAAATTTAAAAAAAGGTCGGGATCGGGATGCACAACTGAAGGTCACAAACACAAGAGAGTTGGCCGTGTGCGCGGCGTAGTGGCGATGGTCAATTTAAATTGTTACAGGAAAGACATAAAATATGTTATTTATGTCTCTTATTAAAGACTCTCTATCCTAAGAAAAGAAACTTGTGAGATTGAAGGCTGTTGAAAATATTAAAGGGCATTTTGGTACTGTTATTTATTTTCCTTTCTCAGCGTCAAAATAAGATACATGTATCTGGTCTGACAAAATTTCATCCGGTCCGACAGAACATTTGACTTTGTCAGACCAAATGTCTGACAGTGATTTCAAAATTTCGACAAGTCTGCCCAGGGTCAAGGGTTCTGGTCAAAAGTTGGGGGGGGGGGGGCTCTATTGATTATATAGTGAAAAATCAAAATTTCTTTGAAAATATTCTTTTCTGCTTCTGGTTAAAAAGCAAAGAAGCTAAGTATATACATGTAGTTATGATGAGCAAGAGTGCTTCTTCCAGAGTAGTGAATTGCATGACCCCTGGGTCAGATGTGCTGGTATAAGGGTGGGGCTGTTGATAATGTAGTGAAAATGCATTAATTCTATTAAATAATCCTGTCTGCTCCTTAATGTTAAGCAGTTAAACAAAGTGATTACTTATGATGAGCAAACTTGAAACTTCTGGTCCCAGGGTGAGAGGCTCTGGTGTTTCTCGGTGGTGAAGGGGGGGGGGGGGGGGCTCTATTGATATTATAGTGAATCTGTAGTGAAAAGGCATTATTTCTTTAAAAATCTTCTCTGCACTTGGGCATATCAGAGGCAAAAAGTGTAAAAGTTGTAATAAGGAAGGGTATTTTTACCAGATTTTTGAACATCTGGACCATTTGGTCAAGTGTTCTGGTCCTAGCCAGGGCTCAAGTAATTTGCATTCTACTGAGAGGAGTTATTCCCCTTTGCCGTTAACTTTTGATAATTAATCATTGTAAATAATGTACTTGAAAAATTAATAGAATAAGAGAGTTATGCAAGAATTTTTATTGTATAATACAAAAAGTATTTTCATAGTTTTAATGATCATGTGGACTTGTAAGTAATAGATAAATAAAAATGAAACAAAAATAACTTGTCTTATTAAATGTTCATCAAAGACCAAGAGAGGCCAATGTAAGAGATTACAACAAGTAATTAAAATAGTACAAAAGCACTGATAGTTTGTTAATATACTGTATGGTGATAGTGATAAATGGGGAACAGATTAGAATCTAATTTATGAACTGTTAATGAATAGTAGACTAATTATTTTGTTGATCCTGATCACCCTATTTTTCTTGCTTTTGGGCAACAAAGCTTCACCTTTCATTTCATTTTAATACTCTATGGATCCTCTAAATTGTTGTATTGTACTCATGTGACCGTTAAGGCCCTTGGGCCTCTTGTATAGTTAGCTGACAAGTAAGACCATATTTCTTCTTGATCCACAGTGGTGTATACCAGTAAATACATGTAACAGCTACTCAACAGTCTGCAATATACATTTTTTTTAAAGTTGCATATGATTAGCATTAAATCACATTGAATTACATACTATTTTACTTGTACAAATGAATGATGATTTCTCTCTATCCATACAGGATGATACTTACATAAATCAAGCAAAATTAAAAAAAAAAAAATATAGTAAAGTTACAGGTTTCCATCTTTAGCTTCATAACCTGTAAATCTCATTTTGAACACTGTTTGAAAACATTTATGTACCATGCATCTCTAGATTTGTTTCATTTCACAGGAAGCTACATCATGAGTTCATCTAACTCTTCCGTCATGTTGTCCCCAAGATTGACACACCCTGGTGGCATGAGTTGTGTTCACTTTGAATACTTTGCTCACCAAGGAGGAACAAACAGGTCACGCCTGGCCATTCAGCTTTGGGAGGAAACAGACCAAGGCAGAATAAGAAAAATGTGGAATGTGAACCAGAGCACTAATGGCTTTTGGTACAATGGGCAATTTCAATTTGATCTCCTGTCAGGGAATTTCCGCATAGCTTTCCTGGGTGAGGCAGGAGACGGGAGCTTTGTAGCTGTTGATAATGTTACAGTGCTCACTGGAAGTTGTCCACCACTAGGTTTGTAAAATTAATATTTATCTCTCCTGATCTAGAGGGTCAGAAGCTGTTTATTGCATTGAACTTGTTCCTGCATAACAGAAAATTTTAACAACCATATAATTTTGGCCTATTGCTGATGGTCTTGACAAAGGTAAAAAGTGAATGTTGCAAATAATTCAATTATAAAGTTAATACTGTTAAAAAAAATAGAGTTATTTCTAAAAATTCTATAAATTAATAAACTAAATATTAAATGCCAACTTTTTAGGATAAAATTGCTAAATTTGCTAGTTGCTAAAATATTTTTGCTTCTTAAATCTATTTTTTACTCCTGTTTGACCTTTTACCTCTCCATCTGGAATTAGCTATTTTCAAAAAGTACAGGACCATAGAGTCTTCAGTAAATCATTGTAGATTTCTTTCAGGTACACAAAGAGCATTTCTTATGCCAATTCTTAGTGTATTTAAAATTTTTATGTATGAATTACTGCAAACCAACTTTTACTCACATGTGAAAAATGTCCACGAACCTCTTTTTCTTGCGATTATTTCTTGCCATGAACTATTTATTTCATTGTGTATTTATGAATGTAATTCCTCAATTGCAAAAATAAGTTGACTTGGGTGGATTTCAAAGTGACAAATTACAAATTCAAAATTTGTCACGAATAATAGTTGGTTTACAGTACTATCCTGGAAATTGAAATATTACCCAAATTTAATTTTCCTTCAATTTGAAAACCTTGATTGTGATTGAAAATATTTTAATATTTTGCTTTTGCTGATTTAATTAATCGATTGATATTGTATTAAAAATTCAGCAAAAATTTGCTAGAATTAGAAAAGAAATATCAACACAACTTTTCTGATTTACAATTCCATCCTTTGATGAAGCAATATTTTTAGTGTAATTTTGTTTCTGATTTTAGAGTGTCCTTCTGATTTGTTCTCCTGCTCAGATCAATGTATTTCAAATGATTATGTGTGTGACAAAATTCCTCAATGTCTAAATGAAGAAGATGAAACGCTACTGTGTTGTGAGTATATATAATTATGTTTAACATTGTGTTCAAATTTTCTGCCCATTTATCATTTTAGAATGTGTTGACGTGTGTAACTAATATTTAAGTTTTGTATTTATTAAGATCAGTAGCCCTTTTCAAAAAAATCTTATGACTAAGATTAAAATCTGACAATGCTGTAATTTCTTTGTTAATATGAAATTAATTTTGTCTAAAGGATTATGAACAATAAATTTTAATGTACTTGTATAAATACAGTCAAACCTTGTTATCTCGAACTCAATGGGACCGAGAAAAACTTAGAAATATTCAAGGATTTGAAATATCGGGTTCAAATACTGAAAGAATAAATGATTGGGACTTCCAAATTACTTCAACATATCCATTGTATTTGAGATATCAGTGTTGAGATATCAAAGTTCAACTGTATAAGATTATATAGGAACCTACTAAAGCTAAGATATAGATACATGTATTTTGGAGAATTTCAAAATGTTTGTCTTGTAAGATATTTTGTGAAAAGGTTTCCTGATATTATTGCTAATTTGGGGGGGGGGGGGGGGGGGGTCTCATTTTAGCATAATTAATGATTAATCAATCATATTACTTTTGAATAGTACAGAATATATGTGTGGCTTTTGTTGGTATAGTTTGAGTGTATCACGATTTTGGGGTGTAGTGCAGAATGTATCGTTTGACTATTGTCTATATAGTATTGATTGTACCATAATACTTTTGTCTGTATAAAGCACTTATGTATCATGTGACTTTTGTATAGTACAGAGTGTATCATGTGACATTTGTATAGTTCGGAGTGTATCATGTGACTTTTGTATAGTACAGAGTGTATCAAGTGACCGTCATCAGTGTAGTCAGAATGTATCATGACTTTTTTCTCTGTAACACAAAGTGTATCATGAGACTTGTCTGTGTAAAGAGTGTATCATGCAACTCTTTCTGTTTAGCATGGAGTGTATCATGTGACTTTTTCTTTTAGCACGGAGTGTATCATGTGACTTTTTCTTTTAGCACGGAGTGTATCATGTGACTTTGAGGATTCTTATCACTGTGGCTATATCAATGGTTCCTCAGCAACCCCAGTCATGTGGTATCAGACTCTAAGTGTGGACGGAGTGGTCATCACTGACCACACTAAACGGGCTACTTCTACAAACAGCAGTTCACTAGGTATGTAATGATAATACTGCATGATCACACTAAACAGGCTATTTATACAAACAGCAATTCACTAGGTATGTAAGGCCTTAAAAAATTAATAACTTGGTTCTCAGGCTCGTCCACTTCTCATTTAATTAACAGTGCACATTATCCATTTTTATCCTCAAAAGAATAAAATAAAATTTCTCTCATGCACCAGTACAGTGCAAAAAAAAAATCCTGAATCCCTGAGTACATTTTCACTGCAGTTTAGATACTTCCTTCAGTAAAATGTTTGACATACATCAAGATCAGGATCATCAAGATGATCCAGACTTTTGACTTATTGGTAGTTAAAAATTGCATATATGGCTGTCGAGTTAACAGATTAAGGCGTCAAGGTTAAATTTGGTTGTGACGGCATTGATTTCAGTGCAAATTCAGAAGGGAATGATTGTAATACTTCCATGGCATATAGTGGGGGTTTCTGAAGATTGTTCCATGCTAGAACTATGAAAAACGGCTCCCTCAACCTCGGAACTTGAACGTTTCCAGAAAAGCTTCAGCAAGATTTGCTGATTTCATTTAGTTTGGGTAAACCAAAGACTGATGAATTTGACAATGTTTTATAAAATCATAAGCATTTTTTAGAGTGCTGAAACACTCTTAGATTAGTTGTGATACATACCAGTAAGCTATTAACAAGATGCATCACTAAAAGTGTCGGGTTTTGTGAGTTTTTAAATACGACTGGTTGTTAGGATGCTGTCATTTCATATTACACGAATCATTGGAATAAAAATCATTGTACTGTAGAATATTGAGCTTTTTAAGTTGTATTTATCTCAGAAGTTTGCAAATAACCCAACAAATCTGAGAATATTTAGCATTGTATGAAAATTGTGAATCAAAACACTGTACATTTATAATTCAATGTTTAGTTTTGATTTCAAGTTTTCTAAAAAATTCAGTGCATCTTGTGTTGATATTTGTTAATAATAGATATTTTGTACAGGTCATTTCTTGGGATTTGTGACCAGTTACACGACACCTGTTTATCTAAATGCTCCCATAGAGAATGTTACAGTCAATTCTTGTCTAAAGTTCTACACCTTTGGAAACAGAAACCTGTGGGTGGGAAATTACTCACAATTTCTCCTTTCCTTCATTAATGAGAGCACAATATGGAGGCCATATCAGGTATCAAAATAATTTTATACAAATAAAAAATAATTATGAATTCAATCTTTTATTCTGACTGCATTAGCTATTTTTGAGCATCGATAAACTTGTCTTGATATTGTAGATACCCGTGGAAGCTGGAACATTGACTTTACGGTTTTACTGGCCAGGAACATATACGTATGAAAATAAATATGCAGGGTTGGATGATGTATCAATCACAGCAGGGGCTTGTCCAGCAATTGGTAAGGTCCATCTGTTAATACTGATGATGACTTTACATGGCAATTTCAGAATTATTTCAATGAGAATGAAATTCTTCCACTTTCACTTTAGTTTCAAACTCTTGGTATGTGATTATTATGTATATTAATATAAAGTATTACCTATAGTGTGATTAACATGGACCTGTTTTATTATAGATTGTCCTCCTTATATGTTTGCCTGCGGCACCACCACTTGTCTACCTAATTCACTCAAGTGTGATCGTAAAGTGGACTGCCCGTCTGGAGAAGATGAAACAGGGTGTCGTAAGTAACATCTACTGTATAAGGGTATTTTCTGTGGTTGTCCATATTTTGTGGAAATTTGCAGATTGGACAAAATTACAATCACAAAATTTTCCTGAAATAGTAGTCAAATATTCTATTAATATTATGTACACTACTTGCATCATGTTTTATCTCCAAACATAAGTGGTACATATGTCAGCCTGATTTAATGCGTTTTCATATCTGCTAACATTATCTTAGACTGAGGTATGAAATAAGTGGTTTGAAAATAATTCCCGAAGACTAACTTAAAGATAGTAGAGCTTGGTTTCAGTTATACTACACTGCAAATAAGGTCAATGTCATTAAATCTAAAAATATGTCAAACAGTGTTCTACCAAATCCTTAGCATCTGGTAGTTAGACTATCCAGTAGATACATTTTTGTGGTACATGTATCTACTGCAACTGCAGAAATTAAAAATGCAGAAATTCATTTGCTACCTTTAAGGGGTCAAATCACAAAAATTTCCAACGGCAGAAAATATCAATTATGTTACATGTACACCCACCAATTGGCCAGTTTGAAAAGTCTGCATGCAGTTATATTCATGAATGAGAAAAGCATTTAACAGTTATGAGAAAAAACACTGATTAATCCCTTTTTTCCATACAAAATCTGACCAATAACCCGTATTTATTGATGTGAATTATTGCAGCTTTCAACATAACTTGTGACTTTGAGAGTAACAACTGGTGTGGATACTCAGTAGGAACAAAGTTTAATCGGAGACAAGGGAATTATTTCTACCTCCCTAACCAGGACCACACAACTGGCACTCTCCAAGGTAGAAAAATAATAACGTGTAGTAAACAAAGAAATGTTCAAAGTATAGCAAAAATTCTTCCATGAAAATGTTTAATTTGATTTGGAAACTATATTTAATTTAATTATAAATTTTTGATGATTAAAGCCTGATAGTTTTAAATTACTGTATAAGTGAAATCTTTAGCAAGATGCTAATTTTGCGATTTATTCCAAAAAAAATTGGTATATATATTTTTAGCGAGAAATAATTTTAGCGATTTTATAATGTCAAGAAAGATATCTTTAACGACCAATATGGAATAAATTGTTAGTGATGTTTAACGTAGGTTGCGGGTTTGCAGGCCATTTAAAAGTGTCCGAAAACATACCATGAAAATTAGTTTTATGAATCCTCTACCTTCGTTTTATATTCTCTGAAAATTTTATAAAATTTGTCTGCATCGTTTTTGTGTAATTAAATCCCAAACATGCCATTGTTGTTGTTACATTTTCAACGTTATTCTATTGAATTATATAAGAAAAACGTCATTTTCGGCTCATTTTGAGGCAAGATTTTGTTTAAAAAAATATCAATAACTTTTAAATGGTGCAGGCGAAATTGTTTTCCCTTTGGTATTTTAACAAAGAATTAATTTGAAATAAATCAATGTGAAAAAATTAATAAGTCTTTGGGTTAGTTTTCGCATAATTTAAATGTGGATAATTGCTTTTATATCGCAAAATGTAACATTTTTAAGAATGACGTCATAAAATATCGCGACATCATGCTTGATGTTGTGAATAGCTATCCGGTATTCAGTGCAGAAAAATAAGCTAAAATAATTTTTATAAAAAAGAAATTCACGTCTATCTGCTTTCAAGTGACCTGTGAATCATATCATAATAATTTTATATCAATGCATGTTTCTCTTCAGATTAGGGTTTTTATACGTCTTGTATTAGTGAAAATTCTCGCAAGGGACGTAAAACAACAATCAATCCTTTAGTTTCTTTCTTCCAATTTACTTTCTTTATGTATTGTTTTCTGTTTGTTTTGCTTTTTTTCGTTGATTAAACGTATCCTTACATTTGGCTGTGTATTTTTCTTATCAAGCGTGCTGGCAGAAAACGGTATCCTTTAATTCAAGTAATTCAAGTATATAAAATTTTTTATTTTGACCATTCAGCAAGGCACTCAAATCTACGAATTTCTGCCACATATCGTCCCGGCTAAATACAATATATTTTCAGTATATATTTAAACAAAATATTTATTTTTACATACCACATTTTCAGAGGGGTAAATGGGACAAGGATTTAAAAATTAATTTTATTGACATAATCAACAGCCAGTTTTTTTTATAACATTAATTCTACTTGTTGGACATGGAAAGCAAAGTAGCGAATAAAATCTGTAGGTTACAGCATTGCAAGCTGTTGCTTAGGGGATGATCATTTCAGGGGGGAGGCTTACAGATTTTGGAAATAAATAATCTGTCCTCGAAAATGTTGAAAATAAATAACCTGTCCTCGACTGGGCAAGAAAATAAATAATCTGTCCAAGACTAGTTCTAACCCCCCCCCCCCCTCCTGGAGTTTTCAACTTTGTTGTTTTTCTTTCTTTTTTTTCTTTTTTTTTTTATTTTGTTCTTGTCAGACTTTTTTCAGTGAAGAAGAAATAAATAATCTGTCCTTCTTTTTTTGGGAAATAAATAATCTGTCCTTCACCGACATGAAAGTAAACAGTCTGACTTGGTAAAATTTCCCCCCCCCCCCCCCACCTCTCCCTCAGAATCAAATAGTTGTCTCCTAACAGAGGTCAGTGTCGCTAAAAAATTGTCTTAATGTTTCATCGTACCTTAGCAGTATTTAATTTATGATAAACTTGTACATCTATATATTTTTTAAAAAAACTGTATAAAAATAAAATTTAATCTTTTGATGTAACAGGTGTATTTGCGATTTTTTTTTTTTAGATAATGGCTTCTTTCTTAATAAAACAAACTGATAATTCAAATACGATCTAAGAAAATGAAGGTCAGTTAAACCTTGTGTCCATATCGTTTCGCGATACCAAGTGAAAATAAATCAATCTCAATTTCTTTGGCCTTTCCGACAAGCTGAAAAACAACCACTTGTTTTTCCAAGATTGCAGGAAAGGCCTGAGAAGATGCGATTGATAACAAATAATTAAACTTTTTTTAATATTTCCAGTGTCGATCATTCGAATAAACCTTCTTCACTAAATTACCAATTCCAACAAAAGTTTTATCTAAGTATTGTATCGACTATACAAATCCTAAAAAGCCTTCATTATTTGTGATAAGTTGTTGCTTAAATAATATAACACTAAACTTCCAAGAAAAGTTATAGCTAAATAATGATATACTGAAGAATTTAATAAAACAAAAATCATCACAGATTTCTTTTACATTGTGACGTCATAGTCAGATGTGCACAAGAAAGTCGCCCAAATCATATAAATTGCGTACCCAGTTTTAATGACGTCAGCAAACCCGCGACCTACGTTAATTTAAGCTATCATCTCAAAACCCTCACTAATAATGCCAAAATTGGATCCTCGCTAAAAATTCTGCTTATACGGTATTCACTATAGCAAGTACAATCTTTATTTCTCTCTCTTGTAGGATACTACATATACTTCAGCAGTGAGGATGGAGATGTGGCTAATGTCACTAGCCCTGTGGAAGATCTAGAGGATGGATGCTTATCATTCTATTACAACATGGAGGGGGGTCCCTCAGCCCAGCTCAGTGTGTATGTCATCAGAAATGGCAGCAGTACGCTACGCTTTGTGCAAGATGGAGTGAGAGTGAGGCGAGATCAATGGGTTAAAGGTCAGGTTCCAGTGAAGGGTGGCAGGATATATGTAGAGTTTGAGGCCTATGCTGATTCTTACTTTGACCAGCCTGGAGTTGTGGCTATTGATGATGTCCAGTACAGTGAGGGAGTGTCCTGTCCTCAGGAAGGTAACAGATTCTGTTTATTGAGACCTTTTAGAAAGAATTCCATCATCAACAATGATAAGGCACTGAGGTGTTTTTTCAGATACAATAAAATAATAAATCAATACTTAATTCAGAGGCTTAAAACTGGGACAATATGACAATTCTTTGTTATCTATCACTGTTCCGTAGAAACTGATACATTTCACAAAAATTATCTCATGCCAGTGGAAGTTGGGACATAAATATACTAATGGCATGCATGTATTTCACATGATTCCCTATAAATACTGATTCAAATATGTTTATCATATGTTATGCTTTTACAGCATGCCGTGATGATGAATTTGAATGCAGGGATACTGGATTGTGTATTCCAGGCTACCTTACAATGGATAATGTCGCAGATTGCGGGGATTCATCTGATGAAAGTAAATTTTATGTATATTTCATTTTGCAAGTGTCAAAGAAAAGGAAATTTGCTCCTTGGGTAATCTGTGTTCAGTGTGTGTTTTCTGTGAATGCTATATAATCACAGTTACATAATATTATAATTATGCTTTGTAATTAATTAATTACAGTATTGCTAATTCATACATTTTTTCTGTCATTTGTAATTTGCCCCAAAATTGTATTTAGAAGAGCTGAGAAATGGTATGACTAAAATTGAGAGAGAAATTGAAACTGATTAAAAAAAATAATAAGCCTATGTTGTCTCAAAAATAAATGTAAAATTAGTCTTGTACAATGTACTAGAGAATTTCCATCTGCTAAAATTTCATTCAGATTGGTGAATTTTTAGCTCTAAGTCCATTGAATTACGCAGGAAAAAAGTTCTGGACATTTGTGTTCACATGTGAAGCATTGCTAACATTCCTTGAATCTGTAGGGATGGGAAATGTCACCAGTGGAGTAGTTCGCCTGGTTGGAGGTATGGATCCTTCCTATGGAAGACTTGAAATTTCAGACAGCTATGGACTTTTCTCTACTGTGTGTGAATATAGCTGGGATCATGACAGGGAATCACAGGTTGTCTGTAGACAGCTGGGATACAGGTTCGTAGTATAAACCATTTAAAGCTTTTATTGATAGCCTAATAATATTAATCTCTCGTTTGCCATTAGTTAACCTGAAGTTAAAGGGTTTTTATCACGACTCAAAATTTTTTGATATGACAAAGTTTATATGCTATTTAAATCATATATTTAAAAATCTTTGCTAGAAAATTAATATTTTTGATGTTTCAGCGATTCAAAGTTTGAATTTCTCAATATGCATATTTTGATCGCCGATGTTACGCGCCATTGCTCTGACGTCATAGGTGTCAATCCTGGTCAAGCGAAGTACTTATTGTGTATACAAAAGGGCTCATTTGCTGTGTCTATTAAACCTGTTAGAAAATAATTAAGTGATAATTGAATAATTGACAGCTTGTAAGGTATAATTCATGGCTTTATAGTGCACAAATGTGCACAAGAAAGGTTTTAGGAAGAATTTTTTCTCCACATTTCCTGGACTTGGTCGAGAGATGAAAGGGGGCCTTTCTCTACAAATGCGATGGCTTTTATCTCCATTCAGAACAATCGTTTATGCCCGATCGATCACGATTTTTTTTTTCTGTCCTATAAAATATTTTTAGGAAAGATACTTATAAAAAAAATAATAAATGACAAACATGCATTTTATATAAGTCGCACGGAATCTAGTAGGAATGTTGTGAACTTCGTAATGGCGTACGGCACCATTGAAGAAGTGTCATTTCTATTACATGATATTCACTTCTAGAACAGGTAGAAGATATACAGGATTTATTTAATTATAATTAATCAAAATAAAAATGAAGGAGAATTAAAAATTCCCATATTTATAAATGTTTACGAAGTTAAACTTTAGTAATTCGTTCTATTTAGTTGAAGTCCCGAGTTGTCAACGGCTTCGTCTTCGGTGACCTCTCTCCAACTGTCGGCATATTTTCTGGTTATTTCTCTCTGCTAGACGTTCATACTTAAGATTGACCGTCCATAACCAAATGAATATAGTCAATGTCAAAATTTCAACCGGCCATACTGTGCATTCTATTTATTTAGCGTAAAAATCTATTCAATATATTTTTTCTTACGATAAGCTTTACGAGTTCTATTGACCATTGACACCTATGACGTTTCAGTACCACGTGACCCCTATCTAATTAGTGGACATTTTTACTTCGAGGACCCTATATTACGGGCGTTTTATCATTTAATTACGGCCGTTTTCAACATTATTTCATAATTAAACGATAATTATATGTTTCAAGAATATAATAGTGTTTCATTTTTAAGAAATTTAGATACGTGATAAAAACCCTTTAATACACCATGTATAGTGATATTCAAAACTTAGCACTTCTGTAGGTTGTAGTTCTAATATTTGCAGACATGAATTAAAGAAGATATGTGAATTTATATTTAATTGTTAATCATGAAGTACACGTGCACCACAGAAAATGGCTTAATTATGCCCCATGATATGAATATCACTGGAATAAGTACATCATAAATTTGTATGGTATAACTTAAAATGAGTGATGGATGGACAAATTAACAATTGTTTTAGTTGAAGTAGTCTTCAATTTATTCTATGCTTAGCCATATGAGAAGTCAATTTTCTTGAAGATCAAAGTTGAGAAACTGTATAAACAATATTTATTTCAGCTGTATTTCATTATGCTTTCTATATATGCTGAAATGTGAGCTCTGCACAATACAGTATGGAATACATTTGAAATCACAATATTTCAAGTCTTTTTTTTTCAGTTAATTATCAATGCATTTGTTTAATTTCAAATGGACTGAAGCAGTGTCTCTGTATATTTTCAGTCGAGCTTTGAAAACATACACCAGATCTGAGTTTGGTTTAACACGCCTGAACAGATACCATGCATATTATTATAACTGTTATGGATATGAAACCTCCCTAAGTCAATGCAGTCGCTACACAAGGAGTACCTGCTCTACCAATAAATACACTGCAGAAGCCCAGGTGTCCATTACATGTTCTAACACAGGTAAAAATCATTGATAATGAAGTCATCTATTTTTACCTAAAAAAGATCGATATTTAATTTGGGAATGATAATATATGACGTAATGAGCCCTCTGCCAAAATTTTGAAATCTTTAAGCCCCAGTTGGGCGTACATTGATGCAAAAAAGTGTATTCACAAAAAATGAATGCTTGAGCCAATTAATTTATATCATTGACAGAGTGTGTGTTTGGAGAAATACCCTGTGAACCAGGCAATAACAACACTGTTTGTGTCCCTGACAAGTATTGGTGTGATGGTTACGTGGACTGTCCCGCCGCACAAGATGAGGAAAACTGTGGTAGGTAGCAGGGCAGGGCTATATAACAAGAAAGGGCTTTAGCAGGGCAGGGCTATATAACAAGGATGAGGCTGTAGCAGGGCAGGGCTATATAACAAGGAAGGGCTATAGCAGGGCAGGGCTATATATAAGGGACTAGGCTTTAACAGGGCTGGACCATAACAAGACAGGTTTATAGCAGGAAAGGGCTTTGTCAGAGCAGGATTATAATGGGGCAGTGCTATCACAGGATGGGGCTAAAAAAAAGGGCAGTGCTATTAAAGGACAGGGCTATTACAAGGCAGTACTTTAACAAGGCAGGGCTTTAACAGGACAGGGTTATGACAGGGCAGGGGATGTAATAGGACAAGGCTATAACATGTAGGGTCATAACAAGACAGGTTTATAACAGGGTGGGGCTTTGTTGGAGCAGGACTATAACATAACAGGTTATAAAGGGGCAGGCTATAACAGGATAGGGCCATTACAGGGCAGTGCTATAACAGGACTGTGCATTAGCTGGATAGTGCTGTAGGTTTATAATATGACAGAGCTCTGTTGGGACAGTTCTCATTTAGGATTTATTCAGATTATTATTGGACTCCACTGGGGATGGGAGGTGGGGGAGTGTCACAAGTACATTCTGTTTCTATGTCATTCTGCATGATGAAAGTTATCTTTGTAAAATGACTGTCTTTGATATGAAAAGAGCATTAATATCCAAATGGTTTGGGTTTTTTTACTGTATACAAAGAAACAAGTGACTTAATGGCCATATGAGATCATAATGTGAATTTTAATAGTGGAGTTTTTTTGCAGGTAAATGTAAATCGGATGAATTTGAATGTCGAAATCACGAGTGTGTTCCATTGTCTCAGAGATGCGATAATTTGAAACAGTGTTCAGATGGCTCAGATGAATTCAGATGTGGTATGTGAAAAAAATCGTGATATCTATAATCTTGAAATTATCCTATGATTAGATAATAATTAGTTCACCTGAGCCGAAGGCTCAAGTGAGCTTTTCTGATCACATTTTGTCCGTCTGTCCGTCCGTCCGTCTGTAAACTTTTCACATTATCGACTTCTTCTCAACAACCATTGGGCCAATTTCAACCAAACTTGCCACAAAGTATCCTTGGATGAAGGGGATTCAAGTTAGTTCAAAGGAAGGGCCACGCCCTCTTCCAAGGGGAGATAATTAATAATTAGTGAAAAATTAACCACATCTTTTAAAAATCTTCTTCTCAAGAACCACAGGGCCAGGAAAGATGAAACTCAGGTGGAAACATCCTTAGGTAGTGTAGATTCAAGTTTTTTTCAAATCATGACCCCTGGGGGTAAAGCGGGGCAACAATGGAGGATCAAAGTTTTACATAGAAATATATACGAAAAATCTTCTTCTCAGGAACAGCAAAGCCATGTTGAGTCATATTTATATGGAAGCATCCTCAGGTAGTGTAGATTCAAGTTTGTTCAAATCATGACCCCTGGGGGTAGGGTGGGGCCACAATGGACGATGAAAGTTTTACATAGAAATATATAGGAAAAGTCTTTAAAAATCTTCTCAGGAACAGCAAAGCCCTGATTGGTCATATTTATATGGAAGTATCCTCAGGTAGTGAAGATTCAAGTTTGTTCAGATCATGAACCCCAGGGGTTAAGGTGGGGCCACAATAGGGGATCAAAGTCTTACATAGGAATATATAGGAAAATATCTTCTTCTCAAGAACTGCAAAGCCATGATTAGTGATTTTGATATGGAAGCATCCTAGGTAGTGTAGATTCGCAATAGAGAATCCAAGTTTTTCATTGAAATATATAGAAAAAAACTTTTAAAATCTTCTTCTCAAGAACCACTGGGTCAGAAAAGCTGAAACTTATGTGGAAGCATCCTGGGATGGTGTAAATTCTAAATTCTTAAAATCATGACCCTCGGGGGTAGATGGGCCACAGTAGTGAATCCAAGTTTCAAATAGAATTTTTCAGTACTTGCCTACTTGCCCTTGGACAGGTTACCATTGTAAAATTACTTGTCCTACCAAAAAATATGCTTGTCCCACCTTTTTCTTAATTAACACAAAATTAAGCATTATCGTTTATATTAAAATTATTTCTCAATTGATACTCTACATTGGGACCAAATTAGACCCAAAATCACTTAATTCTTCCAGGGAAAAATTAAGGGTAATTGTTGTTCCAGGGAGATTTCCTAGCTTGTGCAGTGCGTATATTTATAAACATGTACATAATTTAAACATTTCCCTGTACAGGTGACTCTCGATCTCTCGAAGTTCAAGGGACCGCAAGAAAAGTTCGAGAGATCGAGGGGTTCGAGAGATAGAAAGTGAATAAAATCCCGAATTTTCAGTTTCGATCATCATTGTTCTACTATTATAAATACCGGAAGTATTATGTTGATAATGTCATCACACGTTTTCATTCGTATTTTACAGGTAATTCACTTGATTTCAAGAACAATGATCGTATTTTGAATAAATAAAACGAACTCTTTAAGTTTCAATATCTATTTGTTTCATTTCATGATTACACGAAATCTGAATAGCAATCGTCGGTGTGGCTACCCCCGGGCTTGATCGGGTCCTTCACCAGATTTCTCGTATTAAATCGGTATTTAATTCTTGAGATAGGATTATTTGCGCAATGTTTGTCATACTGGGATTATGTAGACACTAATAAAACTTCATAATCTATGGAAAATTATTGACACGCCTCTTAAATTATTTTCAAAAAATTTTCGTCTTGCTGTCAAGTCAAAATAAGCTGTGAAGCAATTCCTTTATAATTTACCAATTATAACCAATTAATTATTTATATCAATACTCGGATGCTCACAGGTGTATAATGTCATCTATGTAAACACCCAATTAACACCTCCATGCCAGTCCCAGGCGTTCACTATTATCCAGGTAAGTCCAAACTGTATTATTTTTACGCTTGATTGGCGTGTACACAAGCGCAATCAAAACTTCGAGACATAGAGAGTAAAAAACAATGAAATATGTGTAACGGGACCCAGGTCTTGGTTCGAGAGATAGAGAACTTCGAGAGATTGGAAGTTCGAGAGATCGGAAGTAAATCTGCTTAGTTCTATAGAGGAAAAAACGGGACCGGAGGTTCACTTCGAGAGATCGAGAACTTCGAGAGATCAGAGTTCGAGCCATCGAGAGTCACCTGTATTACTTTAGCATCCAAAAAATACTCAAAGAGGGAAAAAAAATGTAGATGCCAAATTATTTGATGATTTCCCATTGCAAGGCATATGAATATCAAGCATTAGAATTAAAATGCACATTGTCAACTACAATTTCTCAACTGAAAAAAGGTTATTTCATATCCTGCATAATATGCATACATGATCACAGTTCATTATTTAACATTGCATGCTTTAGTAGTAAAATTTACATTTAAGATTCAGATTTCTTTCCGTATTTTCGGGGTATTAATAAAATCTAAGTCTCATTCTATTTTCTTCAAAATTCTTTAATGAGGTATTCCCTATTTTTTTTTAATTTAAAAATAATGTGCAATCATTTAATTGAAAACAAAAAATATTATACAGTATTTCATTATGAAAACCACCACTGCATGCCGATTGTGACTTTCTGTTCATGATCGCCAGTCAGCAGCTCTAATTTTAATATCAGTATAAAACATTTATATTCACTGCATGAATGTTACATTTTGACTATACCTATAAATGTCTAAAATATTTTTCAACTTTTTTGATATGGAAACGATAGCTGCTATGTTTTACGTCTTGTGTATATTTTAACTATACATGAAATTCTAGAGGAGTTCTGACCGAGTATTTGATGTAGTGGTCAACAGCAGCAAAAACAGGTGCTCTATTGTGATTCATTACATTTCAACAGCGGTAAAACAAACAACATTTGATTTTTTGTTAACTGGAGAAGCATTTGTCCGCGGGCAGGTACCACTTATCAAATAACTTGCCCGCCAAACAAAACTGGTTGTCCCGGGCGTCGGGCAATGCTATTTGTCTAGCCCTGGGAAGCATCCTGGAGTAGTGTAGATTACAAATTGTTAAAATCATGACCCCTGGGGATAGGATGGGGCCACAATAGGCGTTACATGGGGGAAAGTCTGGTGAAGAGCAGCAGGGCCAAAGTTAATCAGGTGAGCGTTGTCGCCCATGGGCCTCTTGTTTTATTTAGTTCGGCCAGCTTCTGGAAGTTTAAGTTCAGGAAGGATGCAGGCATGGAAAGATGGCTCATGGAGAACCCTGTGTGTTGATTACATCACTGTAGAAACAGCTCAATACTTATGTAGCATTGCTGGAGGAGGGTATGCAATCAAGGCTACACAATCTGTTATACAGAAAGATATTGCAACTGCAAGAATTTTAATTTTGAAGTAAACTGATAGAACAATACTAGATAGTTTCATATGCATTTATATTTATACTCCAGCATTTTTTTCTTTTTTTTAAATAGAAAAATTGTGTATCAAACGATTTCTTTCAAATTTTGAAGGGATCAGTTCATTTCCCCTAAAATAATAAATTTTCTTGAGAATGTAGTTTCAAGACAGATTCCTTGGATATCTTTGAGATGATAAAAATTTATGGTATTTTTTAAAGTATAGCCAGGTTTTTTTTATTATCAGTTGATACTGTACAGATTTGTTTCCCTTTATTGCAGCACATTATCAAATTTCTGGTCAGGAAGCTATATCATGGGAGGTTACCAGGCCCTGCCAACACATGGTCCCAGTAATATCATTCCAAATCATATCCTCCAGGCCAGGTAAGGAGTAAAACCACTGGCAATGCATCTCTAGCTAAGCATGCAAATAAAAGATAATTGAATTACATTTATCATGAAATCATTTCAAAAGAAATACATCTCTAGCTAAGCATACAAATAAAAGACATTTGAATTAAATTTATTGTAAAATCATTTTCAGAGTTACATATAAAATAGAACTAGTTTAGTATGAACAAAGATGTAACAAAATTTTTGGAAGCCCTGGCAAAATTCTTTACAATTCCTTGAAAAATTTTATTTTTGTAATAAACTCTGTTTTAAAAAAATTATGGATATAGCAGATTGATTTTGTGTCCCATAGAAGTTAAAAATGATGAAAGGACCAAATTCTGTAATGGCAAATTTCTGTCCCAAAAATTTTAACTTTAACCTTAACTATTGCTCCAGAAGAGACAAGACATTCTTATTTTCTTTTCACATGTGCATTACTTGTGACAAGACCTATTATATTTGATCCCATGACCTTGATTTTAAAGTTTGATGCAGTTTTGAGAAGCTTTAATCTTTACCATAACTTTTTAGGTCACCTGAGTCACTCAGGTGACCTATTGCTATCCGTTTTTGTCCGTCGGCGTGCGTCATGCGTTACCTTTTGAACATTTTTAACTTCTTCTCTAGAACCGCTCAATCAATTTCAACCAAATTTGTTATATAGCATCTATGGGTGAAGGGGAACAAAAATTGTGAATTTCATGGTCCCTGTCCCTGGGGCCTGAGGGTCAGGGCTAAAACCACCAAAATTAATGCAATCTTTAAAAATCTTCTTCTTTACTCCTGGACATCAAGCAGTCAAACTGTTGGCATGATTGTAATAAGCATTGAGCCCTCTACCAAAATTGTGAAATTCATGGCCCCAGGGTCAGGGGTTCTGGTGCTAGGGCGGGGCTATATAGATCATATAGTGAAAGTGCATTATTTCTTTGAAAATCTTCTTCTCTACTCTTGGGTGTTATTGAAACAAATTGAATACATAGCTATGATAAGCAAGAGTGACTCTACCAAAATTGTGAAATTCATGGCCCCAGGGTCAGGGGTTCTGGTGCTAGGGTGGGGCTAAATAGATCATATAGTGAAAGTGCATTATTTCTTTGAAAATCTTCTTCTCTACTCTTGGGTATTATTTAAACAAATTAAATACATAGTTATGATAAGCAAGAGTGACTCTACCAAAATTGTGAAATTCATGGCCCCAGGGTCAGGGGTTCTGGTGCTAGGGCGGGGCTAAATAGATCATATAGTGAAAGTGCATTATTTCTTTGAAAATCTTCTTCTCTACTCTTGGGTATTATTTAAACAAATTAAATACATAGTTATGATAAACAAGAGTTACTCTACCAAAATTGTGAAATTCATAGCCCCAGGGTCGGGGTTCTAGTGCTAGGGTGGGGCTGTATAGATCATATAGTGAAAGTGCATTATTTCTTTGAAAATCTTCTTCTCTACTCCTGGGTATTATTTAAACAAATTAAATACATAGTTATGATAAGCAAGAGTTACTCTACCAAAATTGTGAAATTCATGGCCCCAGGGTCAGGGGTTCTAGTGCTAGGGCGGGGCTGTATAGATCCTATAGTGAAAGTGCATTTATGCTTTAAAATCTTCTTCTCTGCTCCTGGGTATTATTTAAACAAATAATACATAGTTATGATAAGCAAGGATGCCTTTTCCAAAATTATGAATTTCATGGCCCAAGGATCAGGGATTCTGGTGTTAGGGTGGGGCTCTATTTATTATATAGTGAAAATGGATTTATGCTTTAAAAAATCTTCTTCTCTGCTCCTGGGTATTATTTAAACAAACAAAGTACATTTTTATGATAAGCAAGGATGCCTCTTCCAAATTTATGAAATTCATGGCCCAAGGATCAGGGGTTCTGGTGTTAGGGTGGGGCTATATAGATCCTATAGTGAAGGTGAATTATTTCTTTGAAAATCTTTTTCTCTGCCCCTGGTTATTATTCAAACAAATTAAGTACATTGTTAAGATATGCAAGGATGCCTCTTTTAAAATTTTGAATTTCATGGCCTCAGGGTCAAGGGTTCTGGTGAAAAGGGGGGGGGGTCTATTGATATTATATAGTGAAAAAGCAAAATTTCTTTGAAAATATTCTTTTCTGCTCCTGGTTAAAAAGCAAAGAAGCTAAGTGTGTAGTTATGATGAGCAAGAGTGCTTCTTCCAGAGTAGAGATTTGCGTGATCCCTGGGTCTGATGTGCTGGTGTAAGGGTGGGGCTCTTGATGATATACCGGGTAGTGAAAATGCATTAATTCTATTAAATAATCCTGTGTGCTCTTAGTGTTAAGCAGATAAACAAAGTGATTACTTATGATGAGCAAACTTCTGGTCCCAGGGTGAGAGGTCTAATGTTTCTTGCTGTGGAGGGGGGGGGGGGGGGGCTCTATTGATAATATAGTGAATCTGTAATAAAAATGCATTATTTCTTAAAAATCTTCCTGCACCTGGGCATAATAGAGGCAAAAAGAGTAAAAGTTTTAATAAGGAATAGTATTTTTACCAGATTTTTGAATATCTGGACCATTTGGTCAAGTGTTCTGGTCCTGGCCAGGGCTCTATTAATTTGTATTCTACTGAGAGGAGTTATTCCCCTTTGCCATTTACTTTTGATAATTAATCACTTGAAAGGTTAATAGAATAAGAGAATTATGCAGGAATTTTTATTGTATAATACAAAGAGTACTTTCATAGTTTTAATGATCAGGTAGACTTGTAAGTAATAGATAAATAAAAATGAGACAAAAATAACTTGTCTTTTTAAATGTTCATCGAAGACCAAGAGAGGCCAATGTAAGAGAAGTCAACAAGGAATTAAAATGGTACAGAAGCACTGATAGTTTGTTAATATACTGTATGGTGATAGTGATAAATGGGAAACAGATTAAAACCTAATTTATGGACTGTTAATGAATACTAAACTAATTATTTTGTTGATCCTGATCACCCTATTTTTCTTGCTTTTGGGCAACAAAGCTTCACCTTTCAGTTCATTTTATACTCTATGGATCCTCTAAATTGTTTTATTATATACCCAACTGTTTGTCACTCAGTTTTACTGTTGAATTCACACAATCACGTGACGGTGTGATCCGACGTTCCGGATCACCACACTGTGGTTTTCTGAATCCATATCACCCCTCTCTGAAACTGATGACGTAGTACACAGATAAATGACGTTTTTATTCTTGCGCTTCAAAAAGTTCCTTGACAAAATGGTTTGTTTAATGGATAAAAGTTATGTAATTGATCCAAAAAGTTTCTTTTTATTTTACTTTGCTAGTTGTAAGGGGGTATATAATAAATTTATCATTATAACAGTAACTTGATCCGAAGAGCCGTATCACGTCTCGTTGACAGGCGCGGATCATTAGATCAAACTCGACGCTTCGCGTCTCGTTTGATCTGATGATCCGCGCCTGTCAACTCGACGTGATACGGCTCTTTGGATCAAGTTACTGTTATAATAATATATATTTATTATACTCAGGTGACCGTTAAGGCCCTTGGGCCTCTTGTATTAATTCAATAATTTATATTTTCTTTGAAAGAAGCACACACAAACAAGACAGTTACAATATGTCATAAGTTGCATCCTAACCACTAAGACACCAAAAGCAGGGGACCACAATTCTTTGAATTGGCTTGTTTTAAACTTTGATTGTCAAAATGTTAGCTCTCCTGAGCAAAAGGTTCAAACAACTAATGATATGGCCATTTGTATGGTGTGCATCAACTTTTTGGAATATGGACCATATCTGAAGAACCCCTTGACCAGCTTTTGTTAAATTTGTCACAGAGTATCATTGGCCCAAGGGCTTTCATTTATACTAAAAATAGGGATGTGTCCCTTAAACAAGGGAAGATATAAGGGAAATCAAAACAAAAGAAGTGCTTGCTAAAAAATCATCTCAAGAACCACTGGGCAGATTATCGCCAAACTTATGCATAAGGATGAGGATGTGTTGTAGATTAAAAATTGTTCAAGGCATCACTTTGGGGCAAAGGATATGGTCCCAGGGTCACTTCAAAATTGACCTAAAATGATCTTTTGTTAAAACTTTGCTATTTTGCCCACTATAACTTCTAGGATCCATCAAATCTTGTCAGTTGATGCATCTTAGGACCTCATATAATGTTGACTGAAAAGAAGGTCACAGTGACCTACTTTTGGAATTTCATAGATATATTTAAATATTTCAAATACTAAGTGTTGTAGAATCATCAAACTTTGTCAGTTGATGCATAATGGGTCTTCGGAGTGTGTCAGCTGTAAAGTAGGTCACCATGACCAACTTTTGATATTTCATGGCGATATCTAAATATTTCAGATAATGAAAGGCTTAGAATCATCAAACTTTGGAAGTGGATGCATCTTGGGTCTTGGGAATGGGTCATCCAAAAATATGTTACCATGATTTACTTTGGGAATTTTCAGGCAATATCTAAATATTTCAAATTAGAGACATTTGGTGATATAACAAGTGAAAGTATATGCCTGTATTGTGTTGATGATGAGGTATGATTTTTTTTTGGTATCTTATATAGGTATGCATGTAACGCATTGATGCTGAGTTGCAGATCCATTGGTAAGTTTTTTGCTTCAATAGATGGTTATTCTTGGTGGTCATTTTACTATATACTTGTAACTTTTTTTGCTTTCCCAACTCGCAAGATATAATGAAGTAAAGTAACAAATTACTTAAAATTGGAGTTTATTTATCCAAAAATTTTGAAGAGACAGTTTGAGTCTAGCTTCTTTTGCCTCAAAAGAACATTAGATTATAATATTTGATGTAAAAAAAAAAAATAAAAAAATAAAAATGATGAACAAATTTAGAGGTTTATTTACACAAGTTATTGGAGATAGATTGATCTTAGCTATTTTTGTCTCCAACAGAATGTGGTGTACCAAGCTTGGTTCCTCAGACTCAGAATATGGTCATCTCTGGTAAAGCGGCACAGAATGGAGAGTGGCCTTGGCAGATTTCTCTGAAGTACCTCGGTCGACACAACTGTGGAGGGAGTATCATACACCCAGACTGGATACTAACTGCTGCTCACTGTGTGGATTCTGGCTCAGGGTAAGTTATTAGCTTGAAAGTAGTGTAGATTCAGATTTGTTCAAATCATGACTCCAGGGGGTGTAGAGTTGGGGCCACAATAGGCTCTCAAAGTTTTACAAAGGAATAAATAGTGAATGTATCTTCTGATGAAGAACAGCAGGGCCAAGTGAGTATTGTGGCCTCTTGTTTAAGCTTAGAATAAAAAGCTGCAGAATATTCAAAGGCTTATCTTTAACTGTCACTTTAAGATTTTTTAACAGCTTGATCTATCTGTATGTAATGTTTGTTTGAAGTTAAGTCAAGCCTGGGTGATGTGTGCATTCACTGTTAAAGGTTGGCATTTATAAAATGCATACTCCATGCATAATAGGATACTATTAATTTCATTCATGTACTTTGTTAAAAAAATTTCAAAAAGTTATCATATTCTCATCCCTGAAATGGATATTCCTCTGCAGAACCCTTGTTTTCTAGTTCTGCCTTACCTGAGTGTTTTACTGATCAAATTATGTTTTCTTTACCAGATTTGAGATTGGAATGGGTAACATTAACAATACAGCATTTACCGTGGACGGCCAGTTGATCGGTGTGTCTCAGGTTTACATACATGAAGATTATACCTCCAGCACTTACGCTTCTTATGTAGACCTGGCTCTTCTAAGGTTAGCCAGGCCTATATACTATAATGACAGAGTAAGACCAATCTGTCTAGCCACTCAGAGGGAGGGATTACGGAACTGTTTTGTCACTGGATGGGGAGCATCTCATTACGAGGGAGGAACTAGTAAGTGACTATTTTTTTCTGGATTTCTGATCTGAATTAATGGATCAAATGTACAACAGATCATTGTGAAAAACCTTTTAAGATACTTAAGATTACAGTTTATGTGTTAATCCATTTGTTAATAAATCCTTAAAAATTTGCCAAATAAGTCATTTGAAATGCAGGAAAAGGGAGAAAAATATGGGAGATTTCTTTAAAGTACAGAGACAAGTACTCATTACCATATCCATCTTCAATATATTGTATGTTATATCTCAGGGACAGAGCCAGAGATGAATTAATGGGGTAATACTAACAATATTCCTACCTGTGAAGCATACCTGAGAAAAGGCTTTGGTGTTCAAGCCAAATTTTTTAGAATAATATCATTTTTGCACAATAGGTTGATCTTATGAAAAACTTACAGACATATTCTTTAACCAAGTCTATACAATGAAATTTTCCTCGCAACTATGGTTAATAGCTCTTTTGGGCCTGACATGATCTTAGACCATCGGCTCAATTGTCTTGCGTCCTTATTGCAGCTCAAACAGGCAAAATACATGTGTTTTGATGGTCCCAGTTTAAGGCCATAAGAGCTATTTTAAAAAAGTTGTTTATGTTTTGTATAAATAGTAAAGAATGTTTTAGGAAGATATGGTTAGTAACATTTTGAGATGGCAGCCAATGGATATGGAGATACACTGTAAAACTCATTTAGTGCGAACATGGATATAGCCAATTTATGGATAAAGTGAAGTTTTTTGCAATCTCTGGTGAAATTCTTAAAGATTCTTTATTTTCTTAATTTTACAGTTATTTAGAATATAGCAGACTGACTTTATGTCCAATACAGGTTAAAAATAAAGACATTTTAACTCTTTATAGCAAATTTTTAGGATCTCAAAATTTCTAACATTGAAGTGAGATTATTTTTCAAATGTATTTATATTTGAAATTCATTTCATCTGAAAACTATTGTATCCTAAGGTAAGTTTTAAATTTGATAATTCCTCATACATTTTTGGTATTCATATTAGAAGAAAAAGCTGTATATTGTGAATTTGCCAAGAATATCTTTGAACGGATGATATAGCAAAGTAGATTCATAGGTTCCCAGATCTTTGCTATAACTGAGTTTTACTGTATCTCAATTTTATGTGCTCTATAAATAACTCTGAATGCATGGAACTATAGCTCTATGATCATCCATCCAAATTTTACATGATTTGGTTTGTATGCTTCAGCTCACTTTGACTATGATCTAGTCAAAGTGAGCTGAAGCATACAAACCAAATCAGAAATTCTTGTCATCTGGATCTAGGAGTGTGAAGAAAGGAAAATGAAAATGGTTTACTTCTAGGGAGGGTGTTGATTTTTGTTTCCACAATGCCCTTGCGTCTTTGAACATAGGTAGCAAACAATATTAAACTTTACTTGCAGCATCAACATATTTTATTTATAGGGGTCTTACCCGAGATTCTTCAAGAAACAGGTGTATTAGTAGTAAATAACACAGAGTGCCGTAAGATGTGGGCCAAGGTTTCTACTTCTGTCGTTATCCAGGACACCGTCGTCTGTGTGGATAACAGAGAACCTTTCTCTCCAGTGTGCAATGTAAGTAGAGATAAGTTATCCGAATCAGATCTTGATAATACAAGAGAATGAATGGTTAAATACAGACCTGCCTACTTTTCCACTTTTTGTGTATTTGTTCCACTTTTTAGCTCACCTGAGCCAAAGGCTCAAGTGGGCTTTTTTGATCGAAATTTGTCCGTTGTCTGTCATCGTTGTTGTAAACTTTTTACATTTTCATCTTCTCAAGAACCACTGGGCCAATTTCAACCAAACTTGACACAAAGTATTCTTGGGTAAAGGGGATTTAAGTTTGTTCAAATGAAGGGCTACGCCTTCTTCCAAGAGGAGATAATTATGATTTCATGAAAAATTAATGGCATCATTTAAAAATCATCTTCTCAAGAACCACTGTGCTTAAAATTATGAAACTTATGTGGAATCGTTGTTAGGTGAAGTGTAGATTCAAATTTGTTCAAATCATGACCCCCAGGGGTAGGGTGGGGCCACAATGGGGAATCAAAGTTTTACATTAGAATACATAAGAAAAATCTTTAAAAATCTTCTTTTCGAGAACAGCAAAGCTGTGATTGGTCATATTTATATGGAAGCATCCTCAGGTAGTGTAGATTCAAGTTTGTTTAAATCATGACCCCCCATGTAGGGTGGGGCCACAATGGGTGATTAAAAGGAATACATAGCACTTATTTTTCCAGTGTTAGTTCTTATACATACATCTTATCACATTTATACCTGTATTATTTTTGTTAGTCATATATGTTAAACTGCAAATATACATTGTATCATCAGCTCACTTATAATTAATTTTCTACTATTTATTTTGTCTTATTTTTATAAATTTCTTCTGAATATGCACATGAATATATTTTTTCAATGATATGTAACCAGTATTTACTTGTACATGTATGACTTTGACCTTGTATTATGGAGAGGACTTATAGAGGCAGTGCCTGCTGTCCAATCCTATTATGATTATACATAATAAAATATTGTTTAAGTTTTTAAAAAAAATGGGAAACATCTTTAAAATTCTTCACAAGAACAGCAAAACCATGATTTGTTATAATTATAATATATATAAAGCATCCTCAGGTAATGTAGATTTAAATTTGTTCAGATCATGACCCCCAGGAAAATAGAGGGGCCATAACAAGGGCTGATAGTTATACAAAGGAATATAAAGGATATATCAATAAAAATTTTCGTCTTAAGAACAGCAAAGCCATTGTGTATCATATTAATTCAAAAGCATCCTTAGAAAGTGTAGATTCAAGATTGTTCAAATCATATACCATGAAATCAAATGTTCATCAAAGTTTGGTGTCTCAGTTTAATTTATGAAAAAGAACTCTATTCTGGCTATTATACCTGCAGACCATCCCCCCATCAATTTGTTCCCCTCTATTTAGTGCATTTTATAATAACATTATACATTAAACAAAAAATGTTGATATGTTACATTTTTTGATATGTTAACATTTTGGTGTTATATGACAATATTTTACCAGTAATTTTGAAACAACAACTCTTAATGATACAGGTTCCAAATCTTTGTTTAGGGGTCAAATGAATTACAGTATGTCCAGTTTTGCCTAGCATAAAAATAGGTCAAAACCAAATACCTTTTCTCATTACTGTAAATCACCAAATCTTCATATCTTTTTTTTTATCACCTTTTTTTATCACAAGATAGAGATTTGGTATTTATAAGCGAGACAAAATTTTCATGAATGCTTGTTATTTCTGTATTTATCCTATGCTAATAAAATATTTGTAAGAGTGAAATTTTTGTGAGCAGACCATCCTGAGTAATTAGGCAAAAAAAAAAGTTAAAAATAAAAGTGATTTTTCATGAATAAAAAGTGATTTACAGTTACAGAAAATTCTACAAGCACATTATTTGTTAAATACAGTAAATTTTGATTATTCCTTGTAACAGGGTGACTCAGGGGGACCTCTGGTTTGTCAAGATGATAGGGGCTACTGGAAGCTTCTGGGAGTGACTTCCCGAGGTCCAACAGGGTGTGTTTACCGTGATTACCTACCAGCTATGTATCAGGGTGTCCCAAGTGCAATAGCATGGATAAGTAGGAAAACAGGTAAGTGTTCGTTTACTGACTCGCATTCTTTCCAATTCATATATTTATAGCATGAAAATGAGAAACAAAATGGGCATGTTTGGCATGTGATCTGCAGGAATAAGGCCTACAAAACATTTGTAGTTTAAATGTCTATGATTTGGTCAGCTGACCACAGCTGGACATCCTTTACAAAGTTACACACATGGGAAAATGTTACATTTAGTTTGAAATACTTTGTCAAATTTAATATATCAGTCTGCGTATCTTAATAATTACTACATGTAAAACTTAGTAACGCTTCACATAAATAATAAACACCTATATGGTATAGTTAAATGCAATTACAAGTACATATATATATATATTAAAGTATCAGTAGGTTGGAAGAATTGCTTTCACTTTTGGTGCAACAGAACCAGAATTTATCTATTTGAAAATAAACCAGTACATAAAATTAAATTGACAAAAGAAACTGTTGTTTGTACTAAAAAAAATATTAATGCTCCATTGGAGGATCGAACCAAAAATATTTCTTATTCATCGCACTGGTCGGGTAAAGCACACTACTGAGCTATCACTGCTACACACACTCTATGGTTTTTAAATCGACAATGAAGCACCGCATTTACACATTGGAATTATTTTTGGAAAAAGTTCATTTTTTATCGTCTTTGGTTCTTCTCTCCATTTTTTACAAATCTTTATTAGTATCTTTGAATTAAAATGCACACAAATAATGTTTCAAATCATGAAGAGATGACCCAGAGATAGCAAATTTTTAGAAAAATGTGTTTAAAAATTAACATTTTGTACCAAATGACTCATCTAGCCAATTTTCAAGTTCTTTTTTAGCAAATCAAAATACACTATTGGGAAAATATATCCCTTTCCTATTTCACAGGAACCCGATACATCAAAAGAATTCTAAAATTTCATGTGACAGATCAATGAAATTTTCACTTTTCAAGTACACCCAGATTCCTGCCAAATTCAAATCAAAAGTGCCCTTGTTCTTAATGTTAAAATATGATTAATTTTTGAGCAAAGATCAAATGTCATCTAGCCAGCATCCCATCGAAATTTATACAACCAAAGATGCCAGTTGATGCATCCGCAAAAGAAAATAACAATTATAGCAATATATCAATTTCTTCAAAAATGCTTACAATGAAAAATAAATTGAAAATAAAATTGCATCAATTATATCTTCAATTAATTCTGTTACAAAACACACATACTTTGTTTATTTTCACACAAAAAAATAGTTTTGTTGATGAATTTCTAAAGAAAGCGTGCCTCGAATGACATGAATAACATTTTAGAAGGATAAACATGTAAAAGAAACAACCCACCAGGCGTTGAAATAACCACAAAATTACATACATGTAAATACAAATACTAGAAGACTAACTAGAGTGTTCCAAGTAATACATGTGTTGCCTGCTTTTCATTAAAGATGTAAATAAATCAAAGCGTGGTCAGCTTTTAAGCTCACCTGAGCTGAAAGCTCAAGTGAGCTTTTCTGATCACATTTTGTCCGGCGTCCGTCTGTCTGTCCGTCTGTCTGTCTAGCTGTCCGTCTGTCTGTCTGTCTGTCTGTCTGTAAACTTTTCAGATTTTCGACTTCTTCTCAAGAACCACTCGACCAATTTCAACCAAACTTGCCACAAAGTATCCTTGGGTAAAGGGGATTCAAGTTTGTTCAAATGAAGGGTCACGCCCTCTTTCAAGGGGAGATAATTAGGAATTAGTGAAAAAATAATGGCATCCTTTAAAAATCTTCTTCTCAAGAACCATAGGGCCAGGAAAGATGAAACTCATGTGGAAGCATCCTTAGGAAGTGTACATTCAAGTTTGTTCAAATCATGACCCCCGGGGGTAGGACGGGGCCACAATGGAGGATCAAAGTTTTACATAGAAATATATAGGAAAAATCTTTAAAAATCTTCTTCTCAAGAACAGCAAAGCCATGATGAGTCATATTTATATGGAAGCATCCTGAGGTAGTGTAAATTCAAGTTTGTTCAAATCATGGCCCCCGGGGGTAGGGCGGGGCCACAATGGAGGATCAAAGTTTTACATAGAAATATATAGGAAAAATCTTTAAAAATCTTCTTCTCAAGAACAGCAAAGCCATGATGAGTCATATTTATATGGAGGCATCCTCAGGTAGTGTAGATTCAAATTTGTTCAAACCATGACCCCCTGGGGGTAGGGCGGGGCCGCAATGGAGGATCAAAGTTTTACATAGAAATGTATAGGAAAAATCTTTAAAAATCTTCTTCTCAAGAACAGCAAGCCATGATGAGTCATATTTATATGGAAGCATCCTCAGGTAGTGTAGATTCAAATTTGATCAAACCATGGCCCCTGGGGGTAGGGCGGGGCCGCAATGGAGGATCAAAGTTTTACATAGAAATATATAGGAAAAATCTTTAAAAATCTTCTTCTCAAGAACAGCAAAGTCATGATGAGTCATATTTATATGGAAGCATCCTCAGGTAGTGTAGATTCAAGTTTGTTCAAACCATGACCCCCAGGGGTAGGGCAGGGCCACAATGGAGGATCAAAGTTTTACATAGAAATATAAAGGAAAATTTCTTCTTCTGAAGAACTGCAAACCATGATTAGTCATTTTGATATGGAAGCATCCTCAGGTAGTGTAGATTCAATTTTGTTCAAATGATGACCCCAAGGGTAGGGTGGGGCCCAATGGGGGAAGGAAAGTTTTACATAAGAACATATAGAAAAAAATATTTCTTCTCAAGAACAGAAAAGCTATGTTTAGTCATATTGATATGGAAGCATCCTCAGGTAGTGTAGATTCAAGTTTGTTCAAACCATGACCCCCGGGGGAAGGGCGGAGCCACAATGGAGGATCAAAGTTTTACATAGAAATATAAAGGAAAATATCTTCTTCTGAAGAGCAGAAAAGCTATGTTTAGTCATATTGATATGGAAGCATCCTCAGGTAGTGTAGATTCAATTTTGTTCAAATGATGACCCCCAGGGGTAGGATGGGGCCCAATGGGGGATGGAAAGTTTTACATAAGAACATATAGAAAAAATATTTCTTCTCAAGAACAGGAAAGCTATGTTTAGTCATATTGATATGGAAGCATCCTCAGATAGTGTAGATTCAAGTTTGTTCAAATGATGACCCCTGGGATAGGGAGGAGCCATAATAGGGGATCAAATTTTTACAAAGGAATATATGGGAATTTTTTTTAAAAAATCTTCTCAAGTACAACAAAGCCATTTGTTATATTGACATGGAAGCATCATCAGGTAGTTTAAAATTCAAGCCCCCCCCCCCCCCCAGGTCTTTTCAATACTGAACTGATTGTGCTTTTGCCTAGCCAATGTGCTCAGGTGAGCGATGTGGCCCATGGGCCTCTTGTTACTACAGGCATGATAGTTCATGCATTTGCCTGCAAAGAAAAAAAAACATCCATGGATATTATAAGAGTGCAATAGAATCTGACAATCAAAAAAGATACATGTATGTTTAACCCTCAAATGAATAATTGAATTGAAATGATTAGAAATATTTATTATCATTTCATTAATACGTGTTTTCTAACAATCCTCAAAATGAGATTTCAGTCTGTCTTTACTACAATTGTCAGTATACACGATACATTGTGGAATAACAATCCCAGTGTATTTTCATTTATTTAAATTTAAGTTTGTGAGGTAATATCCTTGATACTGTTTCAAAGTACAGTATCATGAGCTCGTAAACACGCATAAATGCTAATTAACAAAACCCAGCCTTTCAAAAGTTGTAAGTTAAATTAAACTGTGTGGGGTATTTTAAGCAAAGTATGTCAAAGGTCAAGGTCAAGTGGATTGTAATGCTGGTATTTTTCATAATATTCTATGACCAACAGTGCACATGCTAAATAGCATAGACTTACCTCTTAAATGTCAAAAATATGCTGTAATTCGGCAATATGAACTATTTTGAAAAGTAGGTCAAGGGTCACAAGGTCTGTAACCATGGTAATTTACAAAAGCAGTAGTCCCAAGCAATATATGTGCAAAATATCAAATCCATACCTCTTACAGTTCTTGAGATATGAGATGTGACAGGCAGACAGACACTGGATTTAAGTGATGGGATCCCAAAGTGTTGCTCTGCTCTGCAGGTGACACAAAAACATTGAATTTCAAAATTCAACCTTACTTTGACAATTTTATAACCAATTTTATTATTAAAAAAAGAAGTTAACGACTTAGAGCTATTACTGTATTTCTACATCTCCTCCATTTCATAGTATACAGTATATACCACACCCGATCATAACTTGTAGTGAGAGCAAAGACATGGTTGTAGTTTAGATGCAATCACCAAAAGAATGCTTAGACATTGACAATTAGAATAATATTATATAAATACATTAAATCCATCATAGGTTTTCAACTGACTAAAAAAAGTAAGAAGAGATGAGTTAAATATTCAGTACAAAAATGTTCGATGGTGTCTAGTCAATTTGAACTCTGCCCTATTTAGACCATGGCACAAGGCCCCAAAACTCTGTAAATGTGACATTTTGTTTAAAACTAAAATTTTATATTAAATTCAAAAAGAACTTTTGAAATTGTTTTTCGTGTTTGACAACATTGAAGCCTAGCTTTCAAGTTTTTGATTTAACATTTGGGTAAGGGAGAGAAAATAACTCTTTATACCCCCCGCAAATGAAGTTTGGGTGGTATATAGGAATCACCTTGTCTGTCTGACTGTCAATCCGTCTGTCTGCAAACTTTGTGTATCATGATCTCCACTTATAGTCACTGTAGAAAAAATGGATAAATTCCAGTAGAGAAATACCGTACTTGAAAAATTGTCATTTATTCTTTCAATGTAATAAAAAAACAATGTTATTATTAGTATTGATATGTTATTAGGTTGTGCCTTAGTTTCATTCATTAAAAAAATATAATGAGCAAATACTGGTAAATTTTCACTCTGTTTAAACAAATTGTGAACACCTCTTAGATCCATCAAATACTAGTATTAGTGACTTGGCACCTTCTCTGAAAACCCAGCGGGGGTATTTGTTCATTTTAGACAGTTCTAGTTTGAGATTTGCTTTCAATTTTGCAAGGAAGCTTTATGTTAGGATTAAGATGGAAGTCAAGTTTGCAGAAAGTTATCAGATAAATTCTGGATTTGAGGGCTGGAAGTCACAATTTATAAAGACAGAAGTTTAACATATATTTACATCAACAAAAAAAGGGGCCGGGAACAAGAATACAACTGATTTTTCATATCACTGGTTAATATACAAAATACCATGTAGTGCTGATTTACAAAATATTTTTATCATTACACTGAAATATATACATGCATTCACAGTATTTCTTCATGTTTCTGCAGTTAAAAAGCTTATAGCTGGATCTCGGGTTTAGACTGGCAGTCAGCCTCATTATGGTTTCTGCCTCTTCTGACCCAACTCCTGTTGCTTCAGGTGGCCAAAACTTTTATTTTGAAAAATTTAGATGATTTGCCTTCTAAATGATGCATGGAATAATGGAGATCTTCAGTCACAATCATGACTTGATACACCTTTAGTTTACGGGCCCACAATGGGATCCATGGACCCACATTATATATAAATTAAAAAATAACAATAAAATGTTCCTTGAATTTTTTGAATTGATTTTTTTTCTCTCGTTTATAGTCTTCACTAAATTTCAACAGGTTTTTTTCCAGAGCCTTTGATCAGATAATATAATGTTCGTTACATTTTGTTGTGTTTAATAAGGGGTGCAAAATTATATGACATACAACGTGAGATGAAGTTTTGATTCCCATCTACTGTTGTGCATTTGACACAATAAACAGACCATTTCGGTTGTTACGTACTTGACAATGAAACCATCATAGCCAATGGTTACCACATTTCTATCTTTAAGAACAATCTCAAACGTTTCCTCAGGTATTCATCAAAGTAATTCGTTTCTTAAGGACCCTCTCTACACTAAACAAAAATATTTTGGGGGGTTTTGAGAAAATTAAATTGTATAAATTTTGGGCTCATTTATATAATTTTCAACATATGGTGCCTGGCTTTTACCAGTAATTCCTGAAAAAATGTTAAGACAGCAAAGTAACCGTTCACAGTCATCTCTACAGACCAATCAACTCGTTATGCTATCCGACAACAAATTCACAACAAGCGAGTTTATTGGTCTGTAGAGACGACTTTAAAGGGTTAGGAGGTGGATAAAATATGCAAGTTGGTTATAGAATATGTCTAGAATTAGGTGATGAAAGGTCATTGATTGACCAATGCTGGAAAGAGGTGAAATACGTCTCCAAAGTGCACAGAAAATCTTGTGCAGTAAAATGCACTTTATTTACATTATGGGATTTATAGCGTTATGGTCAAAGAGTAAAATATAAAACCATAACACTACAGTTCTGCAGCTAAGGTTGTATAAGACTAATTATCTTGCTTTTTCCTATCTTAGGTTTGAATTTCGATGCTGCTGGTACACCAAGTCCGTACACAGGAACATATCCAACATCAACTTCAACACCAAGGTACAATGGAACATATCCCACATCAACTTTAACACCAGCTAGTACTGATAACTACACTGTTAATCAAACTCGTAGTACACAGTCTAAATCTGAAGTAGTAATATCATCAACGCAATCCAGTTTAAAGTTGTCAACAACATTGCTGCCCAATACTAATCCAACAGCAAAACCTGAACCAACACCTGGTCCAACGGCAGAACCAACAATATCACAGCCCCATTCTGAACCCACAGCAGAACCTGAACCACCATTTACACCTCATCCAACAGCAGAACCAGAACCAACTGTATCACAACCCGAACCTGAATCAACATCAAAACCTTAACAAGATTATGAACTCTTGACCCATATCAGATGTTACTACTACATGCTTTGCTTATAGAAAATATTCATGTGCCGGTATTTAGGAGATAGACATAAAGAAATATGATACCTGAAAAAAGGGAGCAGTATTTTTGTAAATATTTATGATGTTAAATATGGATTTGTCTTTTTAATTGGTGAAAGTCAAGCATCCATGAAAGTGTCCAGCAATTAAGAATTAAATTTGAACTGGTAATCTGATGAATTAATTTTGCTACCCTTAAATAAAGATTTATTTCATCAATTATATACAAGCTTATTTTTTCATATAACATTGTGTAATACTTATTGCAGTTTAACCTATATGTGAAATTTTTCATACTATATATAGTCACACAGAGTGATACATTATTCATTTATGTATTTATTAAGGTTGATTTTAGAGAAATGTTGAGATGTCTTCCATTGTTTTTTTTTGGACACTTTTTTAACATTTAAATAAGGGGTACAGCTGTAAAACTATATACATACTTTCCTCGTGTGGGATTAATTTAAGCTATGTATGCAGTCACAAATTTTCTATGGAAATTTGTAACAGCTTACTTAAAGTGCAATCAAAACATAATAAAAGCAATTCAATTGTATAAATCTGTGCAATTTTCTACATGCAGATAGCACTGAAATTGTGGATTCGTTGAATTACGACCTGTGGAAAAAAGCATGTTTACAGTAACTTGTCCGATTTTTTTAAAAATGCCCTCTTCCTGAAGCTGATGTCTTTGCAGGTCAGGGGACTGATTGAAATGTATAGAAATATATATACATGTATGCTGTGTTGCTGCTTATTATAATGTTCAGTATTTCAAATTCATGATTTATAAACAAATCACTTTTTTTTTATTTCAAATGTGGAGGCATATATTTGGCCCCTTATAATACCTTGCTCAGTAAGTGATATGAGTACTGGTAATGTATGTTTAAAAAAAAATTACCGGTACATACTCAAAAAAAAAATCATTCCGTATGAAAATTACATCAAGATATGCATTACACAAGTATTGTAGTAAATAAAGTTTTCATTAATACTAAAGAACCTTGAATGACCACAATGACACTTTTTCAAAGTATATATGTGAACCATGTAGAATGACCATGCTATTATGATGCTTAAAGCATTATTGTTGAAAACAAACTCTCTTCATTACAAAATTTATTTCTGCAACAGTAAGTTTTTATTTAAGCTCCTGCATTATTTTTCATCCTCATATTTAGTTATAGTTGACAAAGGTACTGAACAGCTATTTATATGATTTTCTTTTCTTTCTTTTTTTTCCTTGAGATATGAGATTTTAATATTGGTATATTTATCAGATTCTCCATAGGCCTGACTGAAAAGAAAAAAAACCCAGATGTATTCCAGATAATTTTCTATTGAATATATAATGCAGTACATATAATGACTTAATTTAAGAATTCGTCTCATACAGATACATTGTGCCCTTGCTTTCACGATCATCTTTTTTCAGCTTATAAGGATTGAGCTTTAGTGTGATAACTATTGCAGTTATATATACAGTATATACCATTTGAAATGTATGAAATTTTGTTAAGAATATATTCTATTAAAATTTTTATATATTCAATGTTTTGATTTAATTCCTATGTTTCTTTATAATCTTCAACAAATTCTGTTTTGCAGATTAAATGTCCATTTAAGCCAAAAAAGAATTTTGATACAGGGTATGCAAGTTGTCTTACAAAAAATACGAGATTTTGAAATGGTCCTATTTTACCTTATTTTGTTGCACTCCTGACATCTGAGATGTATTTTATTAAACATTCAATGGCATGAACTATGACAGAAGAGAAATAATATACTATACCTCAATACGTAGAAAATATACCGTAGACAGTTTGTCCGTGTCTGTCTGGAGGATATGAACTGATACTTTTCACCCTGGCAGGTATATATATAATTTTATTTGTATGAAATATGCCCTGGTGAAAGGTATGTCATACCTTTATGAACTTTCAAAAACATTTCTTAAGCTAACCTAGCGATTCAGATATTATAATTCAGTATATCAAAGGATGTATAATGCATTGAGGCAGAAAGATAATGGTAGATAGACTATAATCACCCAGAATTTGTAATTACGTCTTCTGAACATTTTACATTGTGATCAACATGTGTACAACATGTATAGGAAACTAGCACAGGTTTAATATCTACTGGTCAGGAAAAATATAGCTCATTATAGGTTATCTCGGGGGGGGGGGGGGGGGGGGGGGGGACAAGAGGCCCAGGGACCACATTGCTCACCTGAGCACTCTGGCTAGGAAAAAGCAGAAATCAGTCTTGAAAAGTTTTGATATAAAAGTGGTTTGAGGGGGGTTGATTTGAACTTGAATCTATACATAAAAGGGATGCTTTTGAATTAATATGACAAATAATGGCAATGCTGTTCTTAAGAAGACAGTTTTTATTAGCTCACCTGAGCTGAAAGCTCAAGTGAGCTTTTCTGATCACATTTTGTCCGGCGTCTGTCTGTAAACTTTTCACATTTTCGACTTCTTCTCAAGAACCACTCGACCAATTTCAACCAAACTTGCCACAAAGTATCCTTGGGTAAAGGGGATTCAAGTTTGTTCAAATGAAGGGCCATGCCCTCTTTCAAGGGGAGATAATTAGGAATTAGTGAAAAAATAATGGCATCCTTTAAAAATCTTCTTCTCAAGAACCATAGGGCCAGGAAAGATGAAACTCATGTGGAAGCATCCTCAGGTAGTGTAGATTCAAGTTTGTTCAAATCATACCCCGGGGTAGGGCGGGGCCACAATGGAGGATCAAAGTTTTACATAGAAATATATAGGAAAAATCTTTAAAAATCTTCTTCTCAAGAACAGCAAAGCCATGATGAGTCATATTTATATCGAAGCATCCTCAGATAGTGTAGATTCAAGTTTGTTCAAACCATGACCCCTGGGGGTAGGGTGGGGACACAATGGAGGATCAAAGTTTTACATAGAAATATATAGGAAAAATCTTCTTCTCAAGAACAGCAAAGCCATGATGAGTTATATTTATATGGAAACATCCTCAGATAGTGTAGATTCAAGTTTGTTCAAACCATGACCCCTGGGGGTAGGGTGGGGACACAATGGAGGATCAAAGTTTTACATAGAAATATATAGGAAAAATCTTTAAAATCTTCTTCTCAAGAACAGCAAAGCCATGATGAGTTATATTTATATGGAAACATCCTCAGATAGTGTAGATTCAAGTTTTTTAAAATCACGACCCCCGGGGGTAGGGTGGGGCCATAATGGAGTATCAAAGTTTTACATAGAAATATATAGGAAAAATCTTCTTCTCAAGAACAGCAAAGCCATGATGAGTCGTATTTATATGGAAGCATCCCCAGATAGTGTAGATTCAAGTTTGTTCAAACCATGACCCCTGGGGGTAGGGCGGGGCCACAATGAAGTATCAAAGTTTTACATAGAAATGTATAGGAAAAATATTTAAAAATCTTCTTTCAAGAACAACAAAGCCATGATAAATAATATTTCTATGGAAGCATCCTCTGGTAGTGTAGATTCAAGTTTGTTCAAATCATGACCCGGGGGGGGGGGGGGGGGGGGGGGCCACAATGGAGGATCAAAGTTTTACATAGAAATATATGTAGGAAAAAATCTTCTCAAGAACAGCAAAGCCCTGATTGATCATATTTATGCAGAAGCATCCTCAGATAGTGTAGATTCTATTTTGTTCAAATCATGACCCCGTGGGTAGGGTGGGCCACAATGGAGGATCAAAGTTTTACATAGAAATATATAGGAAAAATCTTTAAAACCTATCCTT